TGCTGCCATCCTTTCTGCCTTCATACGTCTGCCTGTCACCAACTCTAGCAAGTCCAACGTTCCCCTTCCCAGCAAAACTCAGGTACCGCCCAAACACTGGGAACAGTTTAAGCAGAAGTGGCAGTCCACGATTTGCCCATCGTAGGCAAACGTTTAACAACTTCCTAAGCAGAGTCAGGATTACCGACAGAGCCATGGGCACTCCTGAGTAGGTACGACAATGCCCGTTCAGTGAGAGAGTGAGTGTAGAGAGTAAGACAGATGACACAATAATATATCATGATGGACGTTATCTTTTGCATCTTATTAAGTCCATGGGTATAACATTTGTATTAGATAATGCTTTAGGAAATAATTAGAATATAATTCCTCTTAAGGATAGACAGTATTTTATTACCTTGCTAATCGATAAATGCTGCATAGCAGATATGAAAACTTTGATAGATTGAATGTATACATACACATAGGTTGCCCTTTGATTAGATATGCTCAGCCGGATGAAAAAGTAATATATAGTCATGACAAAACAAACGAACAGGAGAATTAAACGAGTGGGGCGAGTGAATGCAGGAGTTTTCGTCGTGGAGATGCAAAACGAAACGAAACGTCTTCAGACGTCCGTCGTCCGTCTGACTAATGTTAAATGTATTGTGTCCAGATCATAACAAAGTCAAAGTCCGAGTCGGGTAATGGTAGCTAGAAGCACGGGAATCATATGCTAAAAAGGGAAGAAAAGGAACCAAGATGAAAGAGGATAGGGGATGAAGAGAGGGATGACGTGACAGGCATAGCGAGTGGTAAGTTATAGAGTAATCGATAGCGAAAGTGAGTCCAAAACAGAAAAGGGTCCACTCTTTTAAGCGTTGTTTTGCGAAAGCTCGAACGGACATGCGACGTTTGTGATTTGTGTCGTGATTTGGCGGTCGCCGATTAGGCCTGCGATGCCGAGTTCTAGTTGGACGCGGAAATCTACGCCTTTTTTTGTTTTTACAAAAGTTAGAATTTGTAGTAGAAAGAGGGTTGACGGATGGATGAAAATACCTGGACGTGAGCCATTTGCGTATAGAGCTGAGTTTCTGCATGCGTTGTACCAGTTAAGCCCTGGGAAACAAACATATCAGCGGATGACCAAATAAAGGCGCCAATTTGAGCGTGAAAAGAAGATATGACATACATGTCAGATCAGTATCGTTAATCGCTACATAAGTAAAGTTCAGCGGTAACTGAAACTCCGATTCCTCATGCGCTGGAAACGATGCAGACGCATCACCCTGCCCTACTTGTTGATTTGTATTGAGGTCCTGAATCTTCGCGCGGACGTGCTTGAGGTGTAAGGGGAGGAAGTTGCTACCCGGGTCGACTTTTAGGTCAAGGTTCGCAGCGAATGAGAAGTTGGCTGGGGAACGGGAGAAGATTGTTTGTGGTGGGGCGGTGCCGTTGAGGAGTGGACTGGCGGAGTTGAAGGTGATGGCGGGGACGCGGGGGATTGTGAAGGCGAGGATTAACGCGACGCTAAAGGTTTAAAAACCAGAAAAAAGGGGGCATCAGTTGAGTTTCTTAGTGATATAGAAGCAAGTAGTGCAACTGACATGCAGCAGACAATAAAAGCAACGATAGCAATGTGTTTGCGGGTTCCCCATTTCCCACAGCATCCGCGCTGATCCCGAGTCCATGCACGGAAGTTATTCCAACGATTGCTCTCTTTGGCCTCTTTGCGTCCTTTCTTCGTCATTGCTCTTAGTTCAGATTTCTTCCATTCTGCACCGAGAGCGGGGACGGTGACGAGTTCGACGGGTGCGCCGGATGTGCTCATGTTTGTATCTTCCTCGACCTTAACAGGAGTATGGACTGGCGGAGTCTGTTCTGGGGGTATTTGTTGGTATCTGTACCATGCCAGTCAAATATTATAGTATAATTTATTGTTTCCAACAACATACCCTTGGTCATACTTGACGAACGCGTTGCTATATCGCGGGCCCATATTATTGAAGTCTGCGTAGACATCCCACCCTGCTTCTTCATCTCCTTTTCCTGCACCAGACCTTGCTCCAAGGAACGAAGCATCCTCATCATCGTTGATACCCTTTACAGGTGCCTCACGACCAACGGCGAAATATGAAGCACGATTGTAGCCTGCACCCTGTCCAGCAAGCATGTCCTGAGAACCGCGTGCTCGCGAAGAACCAAAGAAGGACGAGGCGTCGTCACGGTCGTGGCGCGATGCAGACGGGCCTCCTGCTGGTGTACCAGAGCGTAGACCGACGTCAGAATTGAGCATGTCAAAGGACGACTTGCGTCCACCGTAGAAAGAGGAGACGGCGGAGCGTCGGTCAGAGTCGAAATTGTTGTGTGCCATTTTGTATATTTTGCGACTCCTTTTACGCTATATGGACCGCTTCGATACGCTTGACACTGTGAGCTGTCTCCTGAATTTTTTCCCTTCCAGTCAGGCTGTCCTGAGGAGGCCGAGGAGAGGTGGGATGAGGAGCGACAACAGAGCGGTTGTGGACAAGGGACTGTGAGAATCCGCATTGGTCTGACGCGAAGCTGCCGGTCTCATCCATTCCTTTCCCCGAACGTCCACTGCCCGAATCCATCCACCGCCCATCTATCCGTGCAAGATTAAGCAATATTTTAATCTTGAAACAGTTTTGTCTTTTGGCTTCTCGGAGGACTCTTTGTACTATCTTATTCCTTGAAGAGACCTAACTCTCTGATATTAAACTGCTTGGCTAACTTCAAACCTAGCTGGCTTCTCACGTCACTCAGGAATAGTAATCCACGTCACTCTCGACAGCAGTACAGAACTCCTGTCTACTCAAGTCCATCGTTTCTAAGTAATCAAAGTATCTCTGCTCCGCCGAAATCCAGAAAATAAAAGTACATAGGGTTAACTTATTTACCCGAAACACACATACAAGCCGATAAATGACAGTACTAGTTCCGATTGAAACGAGTGGCGAGGGAAAAGAGCGAATCGACGAAATGTAATAAAGATAAGAATGAACGAGTGTAGGTGAGTGGGTGTGTATCTGTCTATAATGGTGTGGGGTTGTCGTTTCTAATTATTGAGGTGGCAGTTGTCAGTTCATGTGGAAATTCGCTGAAAATATACAGAAAGTGAACGTACCTGGGAGAAATAATCAATGTCCAGAGCCGTCGCTAGACTCGTCCGATACACTGAAGCTTCCTATTGAAAAGACGTCGATGTCGTTTTGTAAGGACGCTTTTATCGGCGAAGGCAGAGGGAATCTTAAACGAATCTTCCTGCGACGGAGTTCATCGTCGTCCTCGTCTCCGCAAATCTCGAAGAAACTGCGAGGCGCAGGGGAATCTGGATCTTCCTCCTCAATGATCGATAATGGACGTGTTGTATCATAGGACGGATAATATATCACGTTCTGCTTTTCGTCGACGTCAACGGTTGACGGCGGCGTGGCGGGTACGACAATTGGAGGAGGTGGATATATAACGCGACCTGGAGAGCGTTCGATGGGAGCTTGCTCGTCATCTGTTTTGTCGCCTTCCCTCAGCAAACTGCACTTTTTGCGAAGAGCGAGCGGGGCGACGCAGGCAACGCTAGGTATCTCGGGCGAATTTAAGGGCTCCTCGTACCAGATCTCATCTCGCTCCTTTCGAAGCTGGACTTCGTCCTGCATGCGCACGAAGTTCATGTTACGTACAGGGTCGGAAAACTCGGCGAACGCGTCTGGTGAACGGAGGAGTTCTTGAGTTTTGTCGTCGATGGGACTTCTTGGCGTATATGTGTACATGGCTTCGTTGTTCAAGAGGAGTGGACGTAGAGCGCGACGAGACTCTCTCTTGGACCTAGGTTGTTCCTTTTGTCGAACGAAACATGGTAAGTTGAAGAGTGTTCGTCGTTTTGGTGTTCGGCGTGGAGTGATCTTCTTCAATAGGGCTTCTGTAGAACTTGTGCTTGAGGTGGACGGCGCAGGCTTGGCTGCTGGCGAGACGACGAGCTTGAGGAACGTCATCCACCGTCGGATAAGTGCTCGGAGTCGAGTAGTGAAGGGTACGCGTGGTGCACTCCTCGTTCGTCTATGACCATGTCTGGAACCAGTTCTTCGTCGTGCTTCCTCACGTCGCGTAATGGTGATAGAGAAGTACTGGTACGAGACTACAACAACGATGAAGAGGACTATTGTTTATCTTGTAAGTAAACATCTTCTTCCTAGTGAAAATGCTGTGGCGTTTACCTGTTGCTAGAATCATTGCGATAATGTTTTTGCTAGAGTCGATACCGCCGTCTATGCTGACCCTCTGACCTGGGCCGACAGAAGACGGATCCACATCGTCTCTTCCATATAAGCGGCCGCGGGCGGGAGGCATTCTGATCTACAAGTTCGCGCAATTCGAGATCGAGGAAGGATGGATGGTAGATAGGAAATCCCGAGGATGAAACAAGGGAAGTACAAGTAAAGAGTGTGGACGTCGAACGATTTCAAGTCAAGACAGGACGAAAGATGAAAGACGAAAGGACAGGACAGGGCAAAGAGAAAGACTCTTACAAGTCTGCGCAAAGACGAAAAGGCAGTCCCTATACCTCATTCCTCTACCGAAACCAGCGCATTATGTGTTCTTGTAAGTCTATGCGCTCGCGGATATTGTGCGGACTTGGGGTAAGTCGCTTACATATATAATCCTATAATCCTGTACTAACAATCTTACAGAACGCACCAACAGTTCGCTTCAGGACGTCTCGCGTAGACGCGAGAAGCTTGGGCGAGTACGGCATATAGGGACGCGAGCCTCGTGTCGTGTGAGTGCTGTGACGCAGCAATTCAGTTTTTCCAATCTGCGACTTGACTTCTTGACGTTCCGAAGAAGACTATGTTGACTCCGCGCCGCACCGGTGCGCGAAGAGGGATGATAAATGTTAGCGCAAAAGGAAAGGAGTGTCGTGTTCGGTGTTCGGCTGAGCGGAATGGAGATTAAAAGGTCTTTGAAGGATTTCGTGTACATACGTATACACTATTTTATCCTTTAATGCCGACTGGTGCGCTTTTCTTGTGTGTGTTTTTCTCGTCTGTGAAGGATTTCGGTACGGCTCCTAATTGCGATTTATCGGATTGGGCGGACAAAGAGCAACTGCCCCTTGTCCTTAATATACGTATTTACCAAAGTTTTTATTTAAAGATGGGTGATTCATTGCATTGCAGATCGTCGGTCTTTGCCTAAGTTTCGGCTAAGAAAATAGACGCTGGATACCGACGATCATCATCATCATGCCGTTAGCTCATTTATTACTGTCAGTTTTTTGTGCCACACAGACGAATTAATCTATACACCAAGACATGAATATCCTCGTATTTTCGCAGTAGCTCCGGGAGTAAGAACTGCAGGAAAGGGGTGCTTTCGAATTCTCCTCTTTTCAATTCCGCTTTCGTGCATTCAAATTTCAATGCCGAAGGGAATATTGAATATATTGTTGCATTGTCTTGGTTTGGCGTTGTTGGGCTTCTTGGGATCTTAGAACTTACACAGGACTCGGACCGGATGTTCTTTGTCTCGTGGGTTTGGTAGAAGTGCTGTGCATTGACCTGTGAGAGTGCGCGGGTTGGAGGGAAAGTGTAGAGAATCACTTGATTATTTTTTCATGTGAGTGGAATCCCGGATGCGCGGAGGTCGGGATCAGATGCACGGAGCGGAGTTGTGTGGAGTATTCACACTCAATGAGGAACACACGAATGTAGCTGAGTAAAGGACCAGCCTTGGCTATCTATACGCATGAAACACAGGGATGCGGGAATAAAAGTACACGTAGGGAAATAAGATGCTGTACGTACGCATTACATTGATTGACGGTGACTACGAGGAGAAGGATAAGCGGCGATACACTGAGAGGAAAATAAATAGTACAAAACGGTGTTGTACTGTATATATAGCGACAACGAGATTGAAAGGCCGAACCGAGGAGAGTTGACAAGTGGGAACGATGAATCGGATGATATACACATATACATAGATGGAACCAAGTTACTGTGTACTGATGGTGGAAGAATGGGGATCGTCAAGGTTCAAGAAGTCGTTGGTGCGGCGTCATGATCGGGTGGAAGGCACGGTATGGGAATGGGTGGATCAATTGATGGTTTCTGAGGATTGAATGACGACTTTGGCTTCTGTGAGCGGAGAAGACGGAGATACTAGAAGGTACAGCGAGGACTCACCTCGGAGAGCATGGACTCGGAATGATTCAAACTCAGACTCGCGGGTCGGATGCACGGAGACGGAACGGACGATCAAACCAAAGTGCAGGGATTTCATACGGTACGGAGACAAATATTTCACATGCACATGCGAAGAGGTGGTGGCTATTTATCCGAATGAGACGCCGATGGGCTTCGGACGGACGGCTGGGTATCTGTCGTATCTGTCGTATGGGTCGTGTATAGCTAACGGGTGAGGTGGGAGGGCTAACGAGACAGGACGCAGAGCGATGACGTCGGAGTTCGAGTCTGCGAGATTTGCGGCGTCAGGTTTGGATAGGTCAAGACTGTCTTGGTCCGCGTCTTGTGCGCCCCGGTTGGAGGTCTGAATAGGTTTGGCGGTTGCAGAGCCCATCCAGTTGCTCAGCCAGTCTGGGACAAACTTGCGGGCTGCTTTTGGCGTCGAAGCTTTGATGAGCCGATCACGGTCGTTCCTCTTCCTCCAATATGAGAAGACCGAGGCGATAGCGGCACCAATTAGTAAGACTATACATTCGTGAGTTTGTATTTCCTGGGAATACTGTACCTCATTCGAGGATGGGAATAATTGGAGCTCACGGAGGAGAATGACGACGGGAACGACTACTGCTTCTACTGGAGTAGATGCAAATTGTGTGCCTTGTTCATCTCTTGCGAGTAGATCGTGAGTTAGCGGCCCATAGGAGAGGACGCGGATCGTAGGAGACATAATTGTCGTATTAGATTCGTGAGCGGACTAAGTTGTACAGAGGCAAGAGCACGAGGACTGCCAGCAGTCAAGGCCAAAGTTACCAGGAGATTATAACTTGTCGACGGAGCGCCTGTCTCGTCCTACAGCAGTGCAGAGAGAAGGGAGAATGATACGAGTGATGAAGAGAAGGAGACTTGACGACGCGCGCCGACACCATGCTTTTGTATGTTGTCAGTAGTATCACAAAGTCGCCGCCAGTCTTGTGTTGTGCGTATATGTATGTGTGTTGGAACTGGACGAGACAATAGAGGTGAAGAGCGTCAACAGGCATGTAGGTTGGGAGGATGTGATAAGAACCAGGATATGTGTGCCAATGTTAGCTCGAAGGGTGATGCTACAAAGAGAGACAATAGGAGGATGGTTATGTGCCAAATTTGCCTCCGCGTTCTAGTTTAAGAGCACAGCACCAGTTCAGTTCAACTAGCGCTTAGGCCTATTCGTACGAGCAACGTGTAGAAATCAGTGGTTACCAGGATCATTAGGGCGTTTGCGTGGACAAGACCCGCAGTCTCGATAATTGTGAGGTCAAGGACAAAAGGAAAGGAAGCGCATACAATGATACATGGACAATCTATTATTTCTCACGATGATAACTATTACATAATCGTATAGTTTAATACTATAATTACAACGCTTGTCTAATAGTATTGAAAATCAGAGCCAAATTCGGTCTTTGAGTTGCGACTGAAGTAGCATGAGTACCCTTGCAAAAGCAGTGGTCCAACTACAATAGCTTGCTGTTCGGAAATCGAGGAACTCGGCTTTTCATTACATATCGATACAAATGTTATACAAAGCAAAACAATACAGCAATAGATAACCTTGAAACAACACATCGCGATAATCATGAAAGATACTAGTTAGTTGTTTGTCGTGGTGCACTTGACGTATAATAATCGTGAGATTCTAAATAAAAGCCGAGAGGCAGAAATCGGAAGATCATAAATCAGAACTACGGCCGACCCGCGACCGAGCAGTGCGCTCCCAGAGACGCACTCTATCCAAAATGGCCTGGATATTGTCTTCGGCGTAGATATTGTATACAGTCTGGTCGTTTGCGTTCCTCCAAACTAGTTCGTCTAGTTCGGATACTAATCGTAAAGCCCTTGTAATGTCGGATAAACTTGAAGGGGGGACGGGAGTAGCGTGGTCTTGGTGTCGAGAAGGCGAATATTTGAGACCTGAGGGTTTGATGTGTAATGTCCGACAAATGTTCTGACAAGGTCAAATGAGTAACAGTATACTGAATATCACGTAGTACGACGTACCGTAAGTGTGGCCTTTGCCTCATCCTCTGTCATAGTCGAAATAGCTTCGTAGTCTGACTTCGGCATTACCCCGTTCATTGGCGACGATGGGGAACGTACTACTCCCTTCCCTTTTCTGTCCATCTTATTTCCATTTCCCAGAGGTTGTTGGTTGTCTTGCGGGTAACTTCCAGCCCGAATATCCGCATTTTCGAAAGCCCTTTGATATAGATGAGGGGCAAACTCCCTGACGTCGTCCTTAAGTATTTGGATGCGACTTCGTAAGCCAGCTACCTGATCACTGACGTCTGACACGGAGGTTCCGAGTTGATGCTTAAATTGAGTGAAGCCTTCTGATTTGCTTGCATGCATAGTAGGCCTTCCACTTTGTCGAGACGGACCTGGACTCGACGGAGTAGGAGCAACCGTCCGCTGCCGCGAAGTACTTCCAACCGTTTCTCCGGGAGGCGCAAGGTTCGAACGAGAAGTAGGAGGTCTTGGAGCCTTTGTGTTGGACAACGGAGACCGTACACGTCCTGGTATCGAGTTTGCATGCATATGTGCTGTATCAATCTTTGAACCAGATCTTGAGGGCCCGGGTTTGCTTGGGCTTTGAAGAGCTGGAGCCACGCAAGGTGGGATTGCAATACCATCCATGCTCCCCTCTGGATTATCCATTGGCTGTATAACATTTGTAGCCCCAGTTTGCTGTTTTTCCTTCCCTTTTCCTTTCTCGTTTTCTGCATTAGTGCCGAGAATTTCAATGAGCGCTTCGAAATCGGAGTCGTCAATGTTTAGCAAGCCATTTGGTCTTGCAGGTCGCAATGAACTCTCCGCCTCGGGCGCGGCTTGAACGGACGCATTGGGGTCTACGTCGGAGTCATCCGTCTGTATGAAGCTTGCAGGGCCGTCGAAAGACCAGTTGAGGTCCATTCAAGTGTTGCCGTCACGACATGAGCATGAGAGTTGGGAACAAGTAGACGCGTGCGCGACGCGTCGACACGGATGTCGGTTCTTAGCACCGACGACCATGAACCTGCTCTTTCCTGGGGCTTTACTAGTCCATAACTTATAGAAACAGCAGATTCTATATCCCAAGCGTGTCCTGACCTCTGTATAGGCTTACTCTGTGGCCTATCTTATGGCAGCATTAAATATACCTATATCGTTTCAGGCGAAGGAACATCGCAATTGTACCATACATTCGGAGCCAACCAGGATAGTGTCTTGGGGTTTCGAGGATTTGGAACACGATGGGGAGATTGATGAACTCTCGAGAAAGCCATCGTGGGGTGCAGTCGTGGGATGCTCGGATGGCAGTATCTATGTCTTCAGTCCGAACCTCTCAAAACGTACTCGACGGAAGTCGACTATAGCCAAGCGTCGGTTCTCTGGAGGGTGTGAACCACCACATCTGCCCTATCGACGCCAACAGCATCTCTCCCTTTCCCGTTCTCGTAATGCTTCTCCATCGGGATCCAGGACCAACTTGACAGCACAGTCATCCAAGTCGCGTGCTGTCTCTGGATTGTCGAAGGAGCAAGTAGAGGCTCCGAAAAATTACGTCGATTTCGATGACGAACAGGAGAAGATGAAGGGTATGATCGCAGAAAGAAAAGTGAAGGATGTTAAGGACCGGTCACCTCGAGCATCGTATATGCTCGGCCATGACTTACCAGCTCGTCGGTTCGATGATACACTTTCGATTGCCTCTGTAGAGACCTCTTCGACTATGCTTTCTCCCCCGTTGTCACCAATCCTTGGACCGACAAATACGGGAAGCTACCGCAAACTTCTTCAGTTGCGGGTGCGTATTTTGCCTCGCGATTTCGGTTCTGAGCATTCGGTCGTTTCTTTGAGTGTTCTGGAGGACAGCGAAATGTTCTTATCTCTCCAGGAATCTGGGTAGGTCTATCTTTTGTGCATTGCACGGAATACTCAAACAATGCAGGAAGGTTTCTCTGTTCAAGAGCATGGATGGTATCTGTGTTGCTTCTGCCGAACCAGGCACAGTACCTGCATCCTTCAAGACGACAGTGGTATCTCACGGATCAGGGTCTCAGGTTCTGTGGGCATGGCAAAGCCTGCACATTTTTCCCGTCAACGAGGTTAGCCCCTATCGCCTATACTTGATCCTAGTACTCACTTCACCCAGACTTCTATAGTTGTTGCGCTCGCAAAAGCGGACGACCGTACGATCTCCCTTGATAGCGGCGAGGCAGATGAAAAGACACGTTTTGCTGTATACGAGCTTACCGGGTCAAAAGATCACGAATTTGGGGAGACATCTCTGTCGCAAATTGGTGACCTAATCCTGGAAGGACATGCTGAAGGATTTGTCGTGTGCCAGGATGATTCCGGTAGTTAATTTTGTTATTGTTGGTGACAGACATGTCTGACTCCAATCATCAGGAAGTATCAAGCTATATCAGGTCGAGAACGACACGTCACTTACTGTACGGACGCTTACCATTCTTCCGCGCCTGGTAGTCATGCATTCTGGAGCCCGTTCACGACATGATTCTCATATGTCATCAAATGGCATAAATTTGCCTCAGTCTATTCGAAATTTACTGTCACGGAACGAACAACAGTCAGACTCTGGAGAGCCAAACCAGGACTACCCACGTTTTAGTCTGCAATACGAACATGGGTTCGGTAAACTGCCTCTGACAGGTACAGTCAAGGGTTTGGACATACGAAGAGTCGGAAAGAATCAGTTCGGGATTGCATGGTCGACAGACGAGCTCACCGTAAGTAATATTCGGTAAATGGGGTACCAAGAATACACATAACACTACAGTAGGCTTTTACTTTGCATGAAAGCACTGTCATTATGCGAAGTGTCATTCCCGTTCAAGCTGGATTAAGACAAGCTGAGTGGATTGACCCAGTAAAGATCCAATTGTTGTTTCAGGTACGTTCTCGACCGTTCCCCATAGCTGGGTCCTAATTGTTGGCCTTCAGGACAGTATGAAGACGTATAGTCTGCCTGAGGTCGTATCCAACGAAAGCTCCGATTCCGGTCATGGAAAGCCACTTCACACGACGTAAGTTACTTAGACTTACGAAAATCACCGTTGTTATTTACTGGCTGGCATTAGGACGACCTTATTCTCGTCTGTCCCCCTACCTGGAAGTCGGACTATTTGTTCTACACAGCAAGATCACCAGCAACGAATTTTCCTGGAAATGGGTGCTGAGAAACAACAGATATCGATTTTGCCGCGATGTGCTTCGAAGAGCACACAACAGGAAAAGGCTACGACCATCTGGACTATGCCGGCTTCGACGCCTGCCGTGACGGGTGCATTTCACCGTATCACTGCTACATTGCCTATAGAGCTTAACACCATTGTGATCGGTTATGGTAAGCAAAATTCAAACGTTGCCATGAGTATTCAACTGAACAGCTAAAGATGATGGATACCTCAACAAACTATCCCTGGAGCGCCTTATATATTCGCAAAACGAGGCTCCAAATTCGGCCTTTGACGAGATCAATTGTGCTGTTCTCAGTCTTTTTGTCATTCAGAACCCACAAACAGGGCAGCGCTTGGTAATAAGTGGAGGCGACGATGGATCAATTGCATTCTGGGACCTCGCGTAGGGACTTGTCTTTTCATTTCATGGTCATGATGATGTCTCACTTAACATTTAGTACTCTAAAGCTCCTAGCGCGATGGGTCGTTTTTACTGAACCCCTAGCACAGGTTGTCCACATGGGTGACGATTTCACCAGTCGATTGCGTGGTTGCTGCATGTGCATTTCTAGCGACGGAACTATTGCTGTTATAGCGATCGACGGCTTTAACTTGTGCGCTATTCCTCCGCAAGATATTCTCGCTTGTTGACGTTTTCGATCACCATAGTCTGTATCTTATCCCAGGCTCGCCTGCACGCCTGCAGACTCTTTGCCTTGGTTCGGATAATCTCATGCTTTTCTACGTTGATGGCCGCACGCGAATATGGGATGTCAAGACGCGAGAATTTCGACGCTCGATGAATTCAGAAAAGGCGGCTGAGATGCTCTCGCAGGATGACTGGTTCATAGCGTAGGTCAAGTCGTGTATCACCTTCCGTGTTGTTTCTGATTTCGATATGATCACTCGTTTGAAGCGACATCGAGGACAGCAAATCGGCGCGGTCGGCTTGTGTATCCACTATCTTGAATAGGTCTTCGGCGCAGGGCGATCCACGTACGTATTTTGAATACGTATACTATGCTCTTCATTGCTTATCTCTTGTTTAGCTCCGGCTTTGGTTTTTGAGGCCCAGTCCTTGCTTGAAAGTCAGTGATTACGTCTTTCGTTCGTTTGCCCCAACCACTCATTTGGTTTCGTGAAGATTTCTCCCGTTCTACATTTACAAAGGTGTCAGAGCAGATCAGGCCCTCCCATCTGCAGACACTCTTAGCGGCATTGCATATTCCGGGGATGGACGAACACTCTGACCGATTGTTAAACGATATCCTTAAGAGTCAGACGACGTCTATCATTGCAACACCAGGATTCTTCGAGTAAGAGTCCTCTTGCCAAACAGTTTCCTGATATTTGGTGGCTAAAAATTTGATTAGTACACAACGCAATTATCAATCATTCTTCTCAGATACTCCCCAGGCAGTATGGCATTTGTCACCGGAAATCACAGCCGTGCGGCTGTTGGCCATTGTCGCCTTGCTCAATGCGTTATCTGCAATAGCCGGTGAGCACGGATTCTTTGATATATAGCCTAAGCCGTGCTTAACAATCTGCAGGATTTGAGCAGTCTGCAAATGCGATATCGACATTCTATACGGTATCATTGGCTTCATTTATTGGGCCTAGTTATCAGGCACCCAGTTTGGCCGTATTAGCGTATTACTGGAACGAGTCCGAGGGTGAGACAACACGAACGTTTACTCACTATGTTGCTAACGTTAAAGAAAGTTGACGATATACGATCTGCTGCCAAACTTCTCTTCGACAGTGAGATCGCGAGGCTTCCGGATGACGAGATTGCAATGGTCGTCGAGAAATGGCGACATAGGCGTAAGTCGAGCAGCATTCTGATGATAAGAGGCATAACTAATATCTTTTAATCCCATAAGTGCCTTGCATTCTTCCTGAGGATCAGAGGCAGTCTGCCAAAGCCGCACTTGCACTCTGCATCTGCGGAAACATCGCGATTGAAAAATTTGCGTTGTTATCCTCCACGTTGGTATTCTGATAATTGTCTATGTATAAAGCTGACAACTCATACAGAACGTTGTCTGACGTTGCAAAATCCGTTTTGTTGTACTTTAACGATGACACGTCTCCGCACCGAGTACTCGCTATTGATTTGTGTTCTCGTGGTTTCGAGACCTGGCAGCAATACTTCGACGCGATGGAAGCACTTCGTTCCCTCTTCGTTCTCGCCACGACGTCGCGCAAGGAAGCAATATCTACAAGGAATCCTGGCCCATACGCGCGTATGGCTGTCCTGCAGATTGCGTCAAGTAACAGCCCACTGTTCGTTACAACGTTATCTCTGGACATCCTCCACCCGAGATCACTCGAATACAGCAAATCCGTGTTACAAATCATCGCCTTTCTAATTCGGAAGGTTTGCCCTTTACTTTTAATTCGCTAATTTCGCCTTAAATTGTATTTACTCTTGTTTAGAAACCTCTGGTCCTTTATCCGAATTTGCCCCGTTTAATGGAGGCGGTGGTGAAGTCTCTGGACCCGGGCCAGAACGCGGAACGCGAGGCGGTCCAGGACTCTGTTACCGAAATTATCGCCTTGGTCGTGCAAACGTTAGTCGTAATTTTCTTCATATTCAATGGCCGCGGACTAAAAATGCGCTGATCAAGGTTCCCAACACTCGATTTCCACGCCGGCAGCCAGCGATTGGCAGTCGGGACGAATGAAGGAGCTGTTATCATGTATGACCTCAAAACAGCTACTCGACTGTATGTTCTGGAAGGACACCGGAAAGGACTTGCCGGTATCTGCTTCTCACCAGATGGTCGAAGAATGGTCACGTTGTCAGTCGAAGAAAGCGTTCTATTAGTGTGGAAGGTTGGCTCCAGCTTCACGAGCTTCTTCCATCCGGGTGCTCCTCCGCGGCAAGGTCGGAGCGGATCTGAACCTTATAAAACGCTCAACTTTGTTCTTCAAGATCACGGTAATGCTTCCAATACCGCTCTTGATGATGTGCTTGGATACTAATGAATTGCATAGCGACTTTGACGATAGAGGCCTCTCTCAAGCAGATTCACTTCAAATGGCCCTCGGACAGGAGTGTTCAAGTTCAAATTCGAGATGCAGTTTTTACATTCAGCACTTAGAACGCATCCTTCTTGTCTTATCTTTATACTCACCACATGTTCTCGTTCGCGGCGGCTCCGATGCTTCTCTTCATTTTTCTTGACCAATTCACGATGTTGCGTCTCACAAATATATATTTCTGAATATAGATATGCTTCCTTTCTCTGGATAGATGCACCTGGCTGCCCTCTATTCTATCCTCGGCAACGCGTGCTTCCTGGCTTTGCATCTGGACGAATGGTCAGGTTTCTGCCACAGAGCCGAATTTACTGCCGCCTCTTCCGGTGCTCCGTATGGACTGTCTATACAAGAAGCAAGTTCTCATCGACCATTCTCCCAAGACACTGGCACCATGCATGCATTCCGGGCTATTTTTATCGGCTTTCTGCACCTCGCACTCTCCAGTAAAATTGCCCATGCTATCTGGCCAATTCCCCGTAGTATTTCAACTGGTCACGAAACCTTATTGCTGTATCAGGACTTCGAGATATTCTCTGGGTTGTCTGAAACGCCTCTAGATCTACTTGATGCCATTAATCGTACCGAGACTAGGCTGTTCAATGACAATCATGGGCGACTGGTAGTTGGACGTGGGTCAAGCGATAAAGCGTCATTCCGATCCGCGAAGACTTTACTATCGCTCCGGTTGACGTTGAACAATGAAAATGGATCGTCAATTAGAGACATATCCGAGGAAGCAATCACACCGCTTGACGCAAGAAACGAGGGTTATACTCTAAGTGTTCCTGCAGATGGAAGCGATGCGATACTGGAGGCGTCGACAACTCTTGGTCTGTTCCGTGGTTTGACGACTTTTGAGCAGCTATGGTACACGTTCGATGGACAAGTTTACGCAGTAGACATGCCGCTTCATGTTGTCGATGCTCCTGCGTTTGTGCGTTCATCGTCTCACTATATATTGTGATTTCGAGATGGTTTACTAAAGGATAAATCTGGAGCCGTATCGAGGACTTAGTTTTGATACGTCTCGTAACTTGTAAGCAATAACTTCTGCATAAAGTAAAAATATCACGCTAATGACCTGACTTCAGTTATCCAGTCTGTGACTTGAAACGTACGCTGGATGCGATGAGCTGGGCGAAGGTAAGTTTCGCCGTCTCTGTCGATTTTCGTCGACCAATAGAAGTTGATGCCGTCCTCAGTTTAATACCCTCTATTGGCACGTTGTGGACAGCCAAAGTTTCCCTTTGGAAGTGAGCCCTTTCCCGGAACTGTCACAGAAGGGCGCGTACTCTGCGGAACGGGTGTACACTGAAGGAGATGTCCAAGATATAATCGACTATGCTGCAGCAGTGAGTATGATTCTGTCCCATAGCCCGGTGCGCAAGGCAAATTTATCTTCGTATGCCCTTTAGCGAGGAATCGACGTGGTCCTTGTGAGTATCACTGAAATTATGCCTGTCAGTAACTCGATCGGAATGTATCTTCCCCCTCCAGGAGCTAGACACGCCAGGTCATGAAACTGCCATCGGCCTTTCGCACCCAGAGCACGTTGCATGCTATTTGGCTACTCCATGGTCTGAGTTCGCCAATGGTAAGGGTAAACGACGATTTATATGAATCTTTTACTTACAATAACTCATGACAATGATAGAACCTCCCGCGGGTCAATTACGCCTCGCAACACCCGCAACTATCAATTTCTCCGTCGAACTCGTCTCATCTGTCTCAACCAAGTTCAAGTCTTCGCTCTTCAGCACTGGCGGGGATGAAGTGAATGCGAATTGTTACGAACAGGATCCTCAGACACAGGCGGATTTGAATGCGATGGGTTGGACGCTGGACGAAGCGCTTAATAATTTCTTGAATGTTACGCATACGGTGATTAGGGGACAGGGGAAGACTCCTATTGTCAAAGAAGGTATGTATAACATTATATATAGAGGACATATGGAGGACATATGGCTGAGAGATTGATAGATATGATTTTAAATCATAATACAACTCTGCCGAATTCTACTATCGCAGTGTAAGTGACTCTTAACGTTCCCCTAGACGAATAGGGCTGAAGAGTGTTGTGTGTAGTGTCTGGATCTCTTCTCAGGATGCAAAGAACGTCACAACTAGAGGCTATAGGATAATTCACCAGCCATCCGATTATTTCTACCTCGTACGTCCGATGCCTTGGTCCCGTAGGTCGAGTAATACTAATAAAACTCAAGGACTGCGGTGCTGGTGATTGGCTAGGCAATAATATCAATGGGTACGAGCTTGCCTTGCAACTGGATATACTTCTTACTAACTCTCATCGTTCAGGAACAGCTGGTGTGACCCATTCAAGACTTGGCAAAAGGTCTAGTTGACCTGGAAGATAACGTTCGTGATGTCATTTTGACTGCCATACTTGCTTTCATAGATCTATTCATTTGATCCACTTGCCAACTTGACGACTGAGGAAAGTGCACTGGTTCTCGGAGGTGTGTCCTAATGCGCTATTTTTTACAGTTAATCATTTGAGCTTGACTGACCCACGGCCGGACCTCATCAGGCCAGATCCCTTTGTGGTCCGAACAAAGTTCTCCAGCGAATCTGGACCCGATCGTCTGGCCGCGTGCAGCTAGCGCAGCAGAGGTGTTCTGGAGTGGTGGCCAGTCAAACGGACAAGCTCTGAACGTCTCGACTGCACTCAGTCGTTTGCACGATCTGCGATTTAGGATGATGCAACGCGGGGTAAACGCGATCCCCTTGCAACCGGAGTGGTGTGCTCTGCGACCCGGTGCTTGTGACGTCGACTCCTGAGCTCCGAGATACTCACGTACTTGTACTGTCTTGATTCGACTATGAGCCCGAGATTTATTGTAATGTTACTTGACCGCTTGTACAAGATACGAGATAAATGTAGATAGGACGTTGAAAATGTTACTCCTTGTATGCGCATCGCCGAAGACGGGATACGCGCCTGTGATCGACGGCACGCGTCCCGTCCCCATTTCTCCACTTCGTCTTTTCGAGTCCAGCGGTGTTCCTTAGCCGTAAGTCAGCTTTCTGGTTGAACTTGAACTTGCTCGTCGACGTGGCAGACTGCGCGATTCTAGCGCCTCTGTCGTTTGTCGGTGTCAAATCAGACACTAAAGTTGTCAGTTACGACTCTTCGTAACTGCTCACGCTCACGCCTTCCATACGACATTATTTAATATCCACGAGGATATGCACGCCTTCCTGGCACGTTTTCGTTCTTCACGACCTTCAAAGATCACTTCTACTCCTGCTCTCGAGAAAATCGAGACTGGTGTTAAGGTTGCTACGCGCCATGAAGAGAACGACGCGCAGACCTCACAAGACGCGTCGCCAGACTCGCCGAGCCAGAATGTGGAGCTCGACAGCAAGATTCATCCCGACCTCAGTGCGCTCTTTGCATCTGTCGAAGACGCGCTGAATATTGTCGAGCGTAATGTGGAGACGCAGAAACGACCAAAGTATATTTACGAGGATAACGACGACGGGACATCGGAGAACGAACAAGAACACGATGGCATGCGCAATAGGATGCCTGAAGGAAAGTCTCCAGACGATGGGACTATTTTCGAGTCGTTTGGCTCTGGCCTTGGAGTGGACTGGTCGTCATTTGGACAGGACACAGGACCACGCCCGGACGCGATTGGGAGGACGCATACAACCAGGGCGATCAACAACAATTTTTTTCCATCAAGTGCAGAAGCCATCCTGTCATGGTCCCCAAAGCCATTGGAAAGCACAGTGTCGCTCAGGCCATCGTCAAGTAATTCACATTCATCTCCCGCATTGTCTCCATCTCTGGAAATACAACAGAGCACGAGGCAGAGTGGACCATATACCTACTCACCGTCGCCTGGGACGTTTGGGTTCCCATCACCTGTACCGCATACACCGACGAGCTCAACTCCGCATCTGCCGCCGCCGGTTTTTCATTCTACTCCGAAGACATCTACGCCTCGAATTCGGTCTGCACATAAACGCAGTCCAGGAGCAAGACGACGAAGAGTTACTGGCATTGGAGCTCCTCCATTACCTACGGCTGCAGCTGCAGGCAGAATGAAGAGAATCAAATCTGAACAACCGGTATCGTCCAGACGGCTCGCGAATGGACATATCAACGAACCTACTGGACGTTTACGAACATTTTCACGATCGTCGAATAGAACTTCACAGGGACTGACACGCCGAAAGAGCGCTGAATGGACTGCCCACGCTGCTTCTGCCGGTGTTTTTGCAGATCCAGCACAGACGACAGAATTTGGGTGGCCAGCTGCAGTGTCGAGGGAGATTCTGAGGCTGTCGCTGGGTGAACAGGCTATGTTGCCTGCACAAGACGCTCCATCGCTGGTGATAGCAACCGCGCCGGAGACAGCCGGTGCTAATAATTTACCTGACCAGACAGATGCACGCTCGTCAAAATTATTGGAGTCTCAACGAGGCGTGCCACGCGTTTCCCACGAGCACAAGCACAATGCGAGACAATCGACCAGGCTAATTAGGACGAGCACCTCAGGCCAGCGTCTCTCATCTGCGCACTTGCTTTCTTCCACCCCGCCGTCCCCGTCGTATGCGCCTGGTCGCAACGGCGAGCCAAGATCCATCGCCACGCAATCGGAAACGACAGACAACGCGTCTGCGTCTGTCGCAAATCGTAGAACCGTGAAAGCCCGATCGCAATCGTCGGGCAATAACACGGTGGATTCGAAGCCGGATACGAAGATGGGTGCGGCGGGTGTGGCAGTACACAAACGGTCTGATAGCGAGAACATGGTGGAATGGGGATCGCGTTCAATGCAGGATTTCCTATCACCTGAGGAGAGAAACGGTGACGCTTCTGTAGCGGCTTTACGACCGAGCACTCCTATGAAAAAATCCGAGTCTGAGTCGACTTATGAAACGGCCGGATCTTCATCTTTCTTGCATGCACCCTCACTATCTGTCATCGCACCGACACCGCGTGGTTCTCCAGGACGCTCGAAAAACTCTTTGGAACTGGAAGATGGGTTGCAGGTCCCGACCCCTCCTCCGGAATCCGAAAAAAGCAGAGGCAAGAGGAAAGCAGAGGAATCAGAGGACGGTAGTCCGCCGGACTTACGAGGCTCTAAGAGCAAAAAATCAGCTCTCGCCGCTGAAGGAAAGGGAAATCGTATGTTTCTTTCTTTCCGTTATTTCCGCTATCCGGCCCTTTCGTACGTTTGGAAACACGTGTATTAACTTCCATTTTTCTACCTTGATGACAGGCTCCCACAGCAATTCCAATGCATCGTATGCACCTTCCTCATTTCAGTCTTTCCAGTCTCAAAAAAGCAGGAAACGTGTGCGGCTATCGTCACCCATGGCCACGCCCGCGCATTCTCGACCTGGATCTGCGGTTCAACCGCACTCGGGCTCCGTTTCGAGCCGAGGAAGCTCCCGTTCAGCAGTCCCATCCTCGCACATTCAACGCGTTGATAGTAGAACAAATCCACCACGACCACCATCGCGCATGTCGCGTGGTTCACGTACCTCTCGCGCGATGTCGCAGGCTGTATCTGGCGCGTCGTCGGGTGCTGGTACGGTCCCGTTCCCTAAGCGCCGCTCGCTCTCTCAATCTTCGATACCGCTTTCTGCGATTGTGACGCCTCGCGCGCCGTCGATTGACCGGCTCAGCCAATTTCATATGCGCGATCCGCAAAAGCCGCCGCCACGACGCGATATTGGATGGACGCTACGTTTCGGTTCTGCAGACGACAAGGGCTCGCCGTTTATGGCGTGGGCGTTCTGGTTTGGGTTCTTGTTCCCTTTGCTTTGGTGGTTTGCAAGCTTTTGGAGGATCCCGAAGACGAGGATGGTCGGAACTGACACCGAGAAGGCTGTGATTGTTGATGATCCATTTATTGAGAGAGGTGCGTCCGAGCTTCAAGACCGTGTATAACAAGCACATAGGCTAATGAAAGTATCTATTTTTCACAGAGGCACATGCCTGGCGACTGCGCTGTCGCGTTGCTTCCGTCGTCTTCTTCTTTACTTACCTGCCCGTCATCGTCCTCCTCGCCGTCTTCGCGCCTCGCTGATAGATGTCCTTTCCTCGGCTCAAAAAATTCCTCTCTCCCTTTGCTTTGTTTTCACTCTGGCGGCCGTCAAGTCAATGAAGACCTCCCAAGTCAAACGGCTCTTGCTAATTTTTGATCTACTTTCTCGCTTCCTCTTGCTCTTGATCGGGTCATCTAAGCTATCCTACCACATCACATCCCCTCACGCCGAACGGTTGTCGTTCTTTGCTTTGCTGTTGTTCTTTCTTCTCCACTATCATCCAATTATCACCCTATCGGACATGTCGCTCATTTCGTGTTTTCCTTTTTTTCTTCTTGCACGTTGGTTCTCTGAAATTTGAATTTGAAACCCCGTGGACTTGATACGTTATTTATTCTACAGTATGCTTTAATTTCTGCACTATTATTATGCCACTTTCTGTCCTTTTTTGTCTTTCGTTTGCATAAAGCTGTGATCATACGCAACCCACCGAGCGTCCATTCATCGTTCACCATCATTATCACCAGTTCCGCTTATTCTATTCTCACAGTTATGGTATGTTTTAACAACTTTCAACTGATTTTGGGATGTATGGGGGGTTTTCTTTTCTTTTCTCTTTGTTGGGTGTTATTTGTTGTTGTAGGCTTTTTATTTGCTGTTGTATCGTTCATCCAAGTTTGAAGGGGTGCAGTTGGTAGTGAGAGTTTGCTACGCATTTTTTGGTCCGTATACCCACGTAGCAGAGTTTCAAGAAAAATGAAATGAAGAAGCGTTGTATGTATTTCGGTGCGATGGTGCAACGTTTGTGCGTTGTAATCGAACGAACGTTAAGAAGGTTTCAAGAAGAATGCTTGTCTATTAAGTATACACAATACAATGGAAGTCTCGATATACAAAGCCGTTCTACAAATCAAGTCTAAATAAAGCATGTATTCTGCACAAATGACGAGACGAGCAATGTGGATAACAAAAGAAGTGCATTCACAACGTGGAACTTCCGCTCCCTACTAGTAAGTCTGAAAGTGGTACGAGAGAGTAGAGGTCGTTAGATACGTGTATTGAGAGGAAGCCTTCTGCGAGGGAGTTTGCGCTTCGGAGACGGAGGAGTCTGTTGCAGAGGATTTTGTATAGCGTTGCTTGTGGGTTTTATTTATTTATTATTAGTTAGCCCTCGATATACTGACGGAACAAAGCAGAACCACAAACTGGCTAAAGCATATATTCTACACAAACAACAAGGACAGATAAATAATAATGGAAACCATTCATGATGAAGAGCTCCCACTCCCTAAGTAGGAAAATAGTACGTGACACTCGAGTCTGCTTGATACGTGTATTGAGAGGAACTCCTCTTCAGCAAGGGCAGTGTTCGCGTTTCAGAGACGGAGGAGGAGCTGGTTACAGAGAAGGTTGTGTAATGTTGCTTGTGGGCTTTTTATTAATTACTAGTTAGCGATTTTTTGTAACTCATAACGGAGTAATGGACGTCATCAGGAAAAAATAAACAGTAATTTTTAATCTTATATGAGTATATAATTTATAAAATATTAATAATATGTAAAACGCCATATACTGCTTTCCCTTGACAGTGAATGATACAATAAGGTTAAATAAGTCGAATTAATATTATGGAAAGCAATAAGAATTATATGTTATTAGGAATCCCTGCACAGTATTTTCCCCATGAGCTTTGCTGGAATGGATTGGATCATCTTGGGTGACTTCTTGTAAGCATTACTTGAATCACTTTTCAAAGTTCTTAATCATGGGATTGATGTGATCCGACTGGGGAACAAAGATCCTGATCTTGCTTAGCTCAGCTTTGTTCTAATCAAAGGGCCTGTCTAAAAGTATTGCACCTGATTACAATCTTACAAGAGTGTGCTCTGAACCAAACAGGATGCAAAATAAATATTAATTGAGTTTTGTGTAAATATTGTAATTATCTATTATCTATTGAATTATACTTATCAACTATATTACTTGATACTATTTCTTTAATATGCTTTCTATTTAGGGCTTCTACAGTACAAGAGTGCTTGAAGAAAAAAAGGCCAAGCAATATATATCAAACATTAAGTGGTTCTACTACTTAGTTGTCAGAACAATAGTTACAAATGCTACTTTATTACTTGTGAAAGAGTTGTTGAATAAGACAAGACTATCTAAGTAACTACACACTTTTGGTATGTATACTCACGTTACAGAGCTTAAAGAAGAATAAAACGAAGAGCTGTATGATTTTTGGTGTGGGTGTGGTATCATTGAACATTAAGGTTTCGAGGATGCTTATGCGACAGATATACATAGTACAATTCAACTCTCAATATACAAAGCAGGTTCTACGGTCGAGTCTAAAGCAGATAATCTACGCAGAATGGCGGCATAGGCGAATAAGACTAAATGTGCATTCACAGTGTGGAACTTCTGCTCCCTAAGTCGGAAAGTACAAAAGAGTCGAGTCCGCCGGATACGTGTATTGAGAGAAACCCCTCTTCTGCAAGCGAGGTGTTTGCACTTCGGAGACGGAGAAGGAGTCGGTTGCAGAGGATATTGTGCAATGTTGCTTGTGGACTTTTTGTTTATTATTTGTTAGTGATTTTTCTTGATGGTCGAGCATTGGAGAAATGGACGTACAGGAGAAGAAGATGGCATAGTATTTCCTGGGATGAATGGTGGACTATCAGAACAGCGATATTCATTCCTTTACTATTTGTGATAACTCACAGATTCGAATTTGAGCAGAACGAGGTTGCTGATTGTGATTACTATGTTCCAATTGGTGAACTAAGAAGAGCTGTATCTACTATACAAGTGGCACTTACATAAAATGAAAATGCAATAGAAAACACCTAGAATGGACTCTCAGTTAACGCATAAAAGACAAATAAGGTGGATTTCTCACTATCTCCGTATGCAACTCTCATGAGCAATGACCTTGTCGTTCGGTCTAGAAAAGAGACAATTAGTTTGAATCAAAAAGTGCAGAAGATTTCGAGTTGTGGACATACGACGCAACACTTTGATTAGCATGAGGACTAGAACGACTTTGTTTTCTCTTAGTCAGTTCTAGCTAAATAATGGTGTTGCATGAACCAACGCACATAATTCGTATAATAAGATCAAACCATAACTGATCTCTTCGGACGTCCTATTATCAGTGCGGACGACGCAACCATTTGGAAAGACGTCAAGTTTCGAAACTTTTTCAGGATTCACAACGTTAACAGCGCACGGTAATATAGGTCAAGCACAGGCTAGCAAACGTACCAGAAGCACGGTCGATATACCGGACCGTGCCGTAATAACCTCCAACTATTCCTATCTTTACATTATGCTGAGAATTCAGAGGGGCACGTATATCCCTTAATAGTTAGCAAACTTACCAGAATAATCAATACCAGACCATATAATATTCTTCTCGAGCTTTCCCATATGATGTATACCCGCATTGCAAGAACGGCTAGATGTTTCATCATTTAGTAGCAAGCAATGACGTAAGTTCAAAATTAGTTTACTTTCAGCGAATATCACCCCAGTCGCGGATAGTACTGTTCGCCATGTCAACAACTAATTCCAAGTCTCAAGTAAATTTAGAAATTTAAGGCACTCACACGTGAGGGCGGTGAAAAGCCGTCTACACATCTACAACAAGGTATAAGAGGCATTTATAGTGAGTGACGTTAGGTATGTCTTAGTAGCAGTATCGGCAGTGGAAAAAAAAGGCTGAAACGCACCGATTCTTCCGAGCTCAAAATATATGCTATTAATGTTGCTTGGGTTAGATCATGTGTTTATGTGTTTTATGCTGCGGAAGTCAAAGCGTACTCAACTATAAGCGGCGAGAGCTGTGAAGGAGAAGGGAAGATATCGGTTGACGAAGAAGAGTATCTTGATTAACGACATGCGTGAGTGCCATACGAGGCGCACCTGCGACGGTGTTGTTTAGCAAGAGAACATGTTTTGTTATGTATGTGTGTAGGCGAGGTCTTACTTCATCGCTGAAGGTTAAGATGTATTCATATATCTGGGAGTTCATTTATTAGAGAATAGTGCCTGATGGGTAGGAATATGTCACTCACGTAGATTGCGAATGTGCCAGCTGTAATGTAATTGATGATGCGATAAGTTCTTTATTGTTGCAGGCGATAAGAATGACACGACTAACCCAGGGCATACTGTGCAAGGTTTGGTCAGCAAAAAAGAAAGGAATTCTCCCGTTGTATCTATGCCAGATAACCTACTCGAATTGTCAGGTAGTCACCTTTTGACGAGTTTGGAACAGAATCCATGAGATTGCCAGAATTAAATAAATTTTGCATCAGCGCGTTTGTATAACTAGAAACACAGTGGGCAGTGGGCGGAAGAGTGACACTCCGAGAGCGAGCGAGGTGCAAAAGCCTATCTCATTATCCAGTCGTCGCATTATATACGTCTCGTAACTTGCAAGCGATAGCCTTGAGAACAGCAGCATGGAAACACCTACGTAGAAATACAGGAAGGCCCTCACAGCATTTTCTCCATGAGCTTCGCAGAAATGGATTATCGCTTCCTTATTGGACAGATTACTGCGTCCCTACGGGGTATGAGTAAAAGAACGAACAGGAGAAGCAACGATCGATACTGATTCCGCATGCTTTATGAAATTATGAGCTTAGCGCGTACAACGAAGTAACGAAGAGCTTCCCAGGGTCAACGCGGGAGACTGCGGACTCATACGACAATGAGAAAGTTACCGCGAATGATACTCATTTGGATGTATCGAAGGCCCTGTTAGTTCATAGCTCTTATCAGAGTTCTTCTTGAAGAGGCAATGTAATGTTCGATCTAATCATGAAGGTGAGTGGTGCCACCGTTTGCATGTGCTCTGAGGTTCCTCATGTGTGAATTTCGGACTCGGGTACGACGCGGTAACCGAGAATTTTTCGCCGACTTACTTGTGGAGGGTGATCGATGCAACAGGCCTAACGGAAATGAGGCAATCTCAGCGGGAATATGTCATCGGTAAATCGCTAAAAAGTACATTCAAGAAACGGCGTAGCGATGTATTGACGACCCTTGGTGAGTAATTAATCCAAATATCGACCGTTGTTTAGCAGTGATGAGAGGGCGTGTCGATCCAAGAAACTTTGTATGCATTGGGCTGGGGAATAGGTGCCGAATGTATCAACCTTGGATAAATGTTAGGCAACGAGACAAGAGTTATATAGAAGTTGCATACGCTTTGGTCTATCTGAAATTTAATTCTTCTTTGCGATATTGACCTTGTTTGCAGTCTTGAGCCCGGAAGCTATGTCGCGGTACAAACTCCTAATGATGAGTGTCGGCACAAGCAACCAAAGCCTAAATCAACAGAGATAAGAAGATTTGATTATTAGTGAATTCACATTTAAAGTTATATATGTAAGGTAGCCTCGTACCCATTCGGAACAATCCACAACCAGAACAATGTCTTCAAGTCATTGTGACCAATTGCACATCCTCCACAGTAGTATTCTTGGGCCCAATAGAGGACTGTCTTGCTCAGTGTCATGACAGCGGACGCAAATCCAATGAGTGGTGCTGCAGGAGAGGCAAGGATATGTTGCGCATAAACATAATAGAGATTGAAGAAAGTCTCAATGACATTCAAGAATGCTTAAAATAAGTTAGCATTTTTTATCCCTCAAAAGAAGGTCATAACACACATTGGGCGCTGGCAAATCCATCACCACGATTATACGCTTCAACACCGTAAACTAGATCAATGTCTTGGTACAATGCATACGGCTTCCAGATCCAGTGCAGGTCTCCGCCATTAAATGACCTTGGACTGTGATGTATACTTAGCTAGCTATCCGGGAGAAAATTATGTATTCGTCTCTCACCGCATGAAGCAATATCCTGCGTCCCAAAAAATAACTGGAGCAGTCAGAAGAAACCATAGGGTAATCCACATGTGCGTTTTGGGGGCCATCCTCAAGAATGAATTATTCCTTTGCACTCTTTTGCTATCTCGTAGTTCTGGGCGCAATGTCGTCGTCGCAGGACGAGTGGTGGAACCAAAAAGCGATGCTAGATTCGCATGGTACGACCAAGTCGTGGGTAATAATCTGAAAGATGAATTGATGCCCGAGGAGACCGACATCGTGCGACGGCCATCACGTGCGTGACGCGTCGGCCGTTCACCAAGCGCGTCGGCGTCGCGTTCATCCTTCCCACCACGACCATGACTGTTGGCCTCACCGTCACCGCTGGCGATGGAATCGCAATCGTCGTCTTTGGGGGCGCTGTCACTTGACTGCTCTTGTTGAACCCATTTAGTTGCTAGCCACAACTCGTCTTCAAAGCCTGGTATGCACGTGTCCGCTGGGAGAATAGGTGGCGCGCTTTCTCTGTAAGATCCCCATGCTGTGCGGTCATGCTCTCCGTATCCTGCTGTCGAAACCCAGAAAATGCTCAGGTTATCTCCTCCGTTCGGAGCTAAATTGGTTTTGCGCCCATACAAGATCGTATCTTCCCTGTCATCGAACTCCCGCTCGGTGTCTTGATATTTGCACCCCTGGGCGTTGGCGTAGAATTCCGTGATTATGGCTCTAAGTAGGTCCATATTTGAGAAGACTGAGGTGCGAGTCGCGCGGATTGCGAGGATTTGCAACTCTTTCTTCGATGTAATTATAAAGATGCATACGCAAGCATCGCACGTATGCCGCGAGGCAAGCGACAAATGTGACAGCCATCAAATACACTACGTAGACATCCAGTGCCTCACTCGCGTCGTTCATGTTTTTCATTTCCAACCATTTGCATCAGCGATAGGTGTGAAATGAAACATGAACCAAAATCCAGGGTTCTTTCGGACGATCTACACGGAGAACACGTTGTCCCGACAGGGAACAATGCGAACTTCATTCAGGAATCAAGAAGCGGGAAGAATAGGGGTTTTACCTTATAAGTCTTTCCACCAGCGCTTCCTTCAGTAACTTCCGAATGGTGCCAAGTCACATGCATAAAACAGCAAATAACTTCACTTTTCTGGGGGACTGTTCTTGAAGTGGACCAACTCAACATCTCGGCACGTATTTATTCCTCCGACTCTGTCCTCAGTAGACAAACCAAGGCCGAAAGTTTGCATCTCACCCATGCGCCACCGAAGGTACTGTCTCGAGTAATCCCGAGTCCTTTGTGGCTTTCTGAACTATATGTGAGAGGAGTGCTAGATACTCTGCGATGCCTTCCTCTAGAACTTAATTGTCTTTCCTTCGCGCATGTTCAGGAACTACTCCACCCTCGCTTGTTATCATTTGGAAATTGTTAGAGCTTCCGGCCATCCACAGAAGGCTCTTCTGTTTCCAATTCATACGTTGCCTAAGTCTCGAAACAGCTATTCATGTTTGGCGGTATCTTTCTGCGAAGGGCTCTGGCGTGTTACGGAACCGAGGTCTTCACTGAATTCGTGGTTCTTATCCCACGATAGTGTCCCTGCTGTACTCTGGATTCACGCGTATACGGTTCCCCCTTGCCTATCCCAGCGACATGGCGACCCATTTGCTCCTCGTTCTTTACAGAAAAGACTACTGGTTCTCACAGCTGAAAGCCATAAGGACCGAGGATCGCTGACTGCTACGTCAGTTGTCTTACTATTCCATGGCTTCCTCACTCATACATGCTTTATCGCTCTCGCTCACATCGTTTGTAATATGGCTTGCACTGCGCCGCTTCATGACGATTTCTTCTCTATCGGCCATCCCAGGGCCACCAATCGCTTCCTGGTGGAAAGGTGCTTAGTCTGTTTCGCGACTATGAACCGTACCATCGCTCCGATATAAAATTGCTGAATTCTTGTGAAAATTGTTACATAGGAAACTTTTCTCAAGTGTTTAATAGACTGTCAGGCTGGGAATTCCATCGCCATCTACTCGAGACATATGGAGGCGTAGTCAGACTGAAAATGTTATTAGGGGTGAGTATGCAGCCCTTCAAAGCCTATTCGCTTCATTGCAGTTACTGATATAGCGCAGGACGAGCAGCTCTACGTGACAGACCCGCTCGCTCTGCATCACATAATCATCAGGGACCAGTATATTTATGAAGAAACAGCCATGTTCCTGACGTGCGTATTACACTATTGTGTATACGTAGTGCTTTCCATGAACTTTGAATTACGGCAGGTCCAATATGCTCTACTTCGGAAAGAGCCTTCTATCAACACCTGGTACGTGCTGATCTTGTATCTGATAATACGAGAATATAAACTTATCCTTAAAAAGGCGATCAGCACAAAAAGCAACGGAAGATTCTCAACCCCATTTTCTCTCTTAAACACATGCGTGGACTCCTGCAAATCTTCTACCCTATTGCACACCAGGTAAATTCAAATTGCTCTGCACACGCTTATCGTCCGAAAGACTTACGCGTGTTCTGAAGCTCCGAGATATCTTAATTAATGAAATTCGAGATAGCAAGGAAACTATCGATGTCATGAAGTGGATGTCCCGTGCTGCCTTGGAATACATTGGCCAAGGTGGGCTCGGGTATTCGTTTGACGCTTTTGACGAGAAGAAAGGGAATAATTACAGCGATGCCATGAAGCAGCTAAGGTGAGGCTTCTAAAGGCAAACACAATATCATAAGAGAGAACTGAGCAATGGGCTAGCCCCATTAATGCACGCCTCTTTCTCCCTCGACAGTTACTCCCACATGCCGTTAAAGTCGGCACACCCGCGTTCCGTAGAAAACTGCTCGAGTGGGCGCCTTTTGATCTCGTCAGAACGGCAACGAAGATCTCGGATGCCGTGACTAAATGTGCAAGCGATATTTTGCATGACAAACTACAGGGTAAGGAAGAGGAGGATGTCGTCGTGCCACAGGTCGGGAAAGGAAATGATATCATGAGCGTCCTTTGTGAGTGGTCTAAGTTGTGTTCCTCTTTAACAGCCACTAATCGGCTCAAACATAGTGCGTGCAAATGCAGACACCAATGAAGAAGATCGTATGCCTGAATCAGAGATCCTCGGCCACATGGGGTAGGCGCCATTCTTGTAAGATGCAGACATCAGCTCAAGGGTGCTATCAGATCCTTCATATTTGCTGGGCACGATACGACTACAATTGCCATTTGTCGTATCCTTCACCAGCTGGCTCTGCATCCAGATATGCAGGACAGACTTCGTGAGGAAGTCAGTGCTACGAGGAAGGAGCGTGGAGACTTGGAGTATGATGTCCTGATGAGCTTACCCTGCTTAGACGCTGTGTGTCGAGAAACATTACGTCTATTCCCGCCCGTTCCGCAGCTAAATCGCACGTGTGTCGGATTCCCTCCTATCGCACTGTACTCACACTGATGGTGGTTATGTTTCAGGACCAGGAAAGATGTCGTTCTTCCCCTCCTGTGGCCAATAAAATCTGTGGATGGGAAGACAGAAATCAAGGAGATTCCGTTGAAGAAGAACACGAACGTCATCATTTCTATTGTCGGAGCAAACACCAATAAACGCATTTGGGGAGAGGATGCGGAGGAATGGAAGCCTGATCGATGGCTGAAGCCACTGCCGGAAAGTGGGACTAAAGTACGATTGCCAGGGATATACTCATCAACGTAAGTTCCATGTCGTCCGCAGGGCTCACATGTGATCTAGAATTTACAACGACTTTTAGAATGACATTCCTTGGAGGTGGCAGAGCATGCATGTACGTATATCGAAGTCGTTTTATTAGCGCATTCCATTGACGTGCAATAAACATAGCGGATTCAAATTCGCGGAAATGGAGATTAGTAAGTCACCGCAGAGCACGCGGACTTATTACAAGTTCCCCGTGAAACAGATACTGAACCACGACCCCAGAGACATCACTGTCCATTCTTCTCGAAACATTTATTTTTGAACCCGGTCCGGATATCTTCTGGGCTATGAATTTCTTGCAATCTCCAGTACTTAACAACTCAGACGATATGGTGACACAACAGCTGCCTTTGAAGGTGTCGTTGGTCGAAAGGCATACATCGGCGAGGGTATGAAGGGTTGCAGAATGGAGAGATGCAGGCGGACATTGGCGAGTCGTTAGTTCCCGAAATTGAGGTAGTGAGAGCTGAGCTAAAGTGAGTTAGTGCTAAAGTTTCTTTCTATTTTCGTGTACAAAAAAATACCTGTAATTGTACGTGATTATTTGTATTACTTTTGTACAAGTACCGAACAAGCAGGACACTTTTCTTCATACCGATTCCACCAAGGACCGATGTGACCTGGATCCAGTGCCGATACACTTGTTTCACTATTCTCAGGTTTAGTGTAAGGTGTTAAATTTATAGTAAGTCGTCCTTTAGGTTGTCTTGTTTATCTATCTGCTGTACTTTTGTAATATGTATAATATTAGTGTTCGAGTGAATTATTTTTATCCCTTTATATTATACAGAGTCAATCAATCGGCATATAGAATATATATATATATACTGTATTTATATATTTATATATGTTAACACCCCCGCCGTCCTTATGCATTTCCTACAAATGATATTCTCCTTTACTGTTCATGTCTGCGTTCATGTATATATATTATCCGACATGTAATATTAATGCTGATCTCCTTCCCTGCTTAAGAGTAATATTAATAACTGTAAAACAAACGCGGATAATTACCTCCCAAACCTGCCAAGTCCTTCCTTCCTTCTTCCTTCCAAGGATGTGGCGGACTTAAGCGCTCCGTGCGTGGCCGATAGAATAGTGGATGAAGAACAAGTGCATTGTTTTTTTAGACACCGAGAGGATAAGGGAGCAGATCGAGGTCCTATCTCAAGAGAGAAGGGTGCGAGGTGTGTGTGCATGGTTGGATCGAGTCAATCAGTTGGTTAGTTGATTGATTGAGCCACGAGACAAGTGTCGTTGTCCGAATAATAGCTTTTCTAGCATCGAGAAAAGTAGTCACCCTGATTCCCTTTCTTAATGTAATGGTAGAGGGTCTTTCACATCGCAGATAAATACCAACTGTGACGAGAGAAAGATAGCAACAAAGACGCGGGATTGTTGATGGACGGATGGACAGATAGATACAAAGAGCGATTAGGTAACTCTACATTGAACATTCATCGCCCTAACATTACGAAGACGGAGAGTAAGAAGCAGGTAACCACTTCCTCCACCCACTCTCCTCCCAAGCCCTCTCAAACCCTGCTCTCGAGAAACGTTCAACAGCCCACGTACGCGCTCTCAACCGCATGGCGTGTTCTTCTGCGGGTGAGAGTGAAAGTGTGGAGTGTAGTTGGGTGGCGAAGGTCTGGGGAGTCGTTGCGTGGTATCCTGTCAGTCGGTCATACAGCGTCTCGTCAACATGATGATGTGGAAAGTGACGAAGAGCGGAAAGCAAGGAGGGAAGAAGGGCTAGAACACCCAGGCTGGAGTGGGGGCGGGATCTATACTTAGACGTACCTGTAGGTTCTCCCTTATACGGAACGACAATATCTATGAACGGTCCTGCAGAAGCGTGTACTACTGGTATCACGCCCGCAGCCTAGACGAATACAGTTACAGACAAGCACGTCAGTTACTCATCAAGATTCGCATGTCTCCGTCTCTTGCATATATTTAGGTTTTAGAAAGAGGGATGTAGCATACATACCATGAACTCGACAACGTTAATCCCAAAATGCTCGTCCACCATCGTGCTAAGGCCGACACTTGCACGGGAGAGCCATGAAAGGACTTCGGGGTGAGGGGCGTTCAAGACGAACTCTACGTTTTCCTTTCCAGTGCCAAATCCAAGTCCGCGTCGGAAATCAAAAAGTTATCATCATGAGTCAGTCAATACATGCAGTAAGATCAAGGGCGAGAGAAAGGAGAGACGAGAGGAGGATTAGAGGACATACAGAAACGCCGAGTTCCTTTGAAAGCGCACGTAGCCCATTAACGCGCGCTTCGTCATCTGCATTCCTACATCCACCGATCATAATCAGTCGGGCGTCTCGCCTATGTTCTGGATGGGATTCGAATAACTTTGCGAGCGCTCGAAGCTGTGCCGCATGGTCTTTCTCGGGCCTATCTCGAGTTCAGTACCGCCTTTTCTTCAAAGTTTGATCAATCGGAGGAGTGAATTGCTTACCGGAACTGAGCGACGCTCACGATTACTTTCCTCCTCCCCTCCAGAGGGAAATCAACGAGTTCTTGTGTCTCACATGGTGGGTAGACAATATGGGCTGAACGAGGCGGGACATGCGTTTTCCATTTTCGTTGCGTCCAAAAGCTGAGAGACAGTGCGTCAGACGGGCAGTCTAACCCAAGCAGTGGATCATCGCATAATAATCCAAATGCATGGTTCACAAGGAGTGAATCGACATGATTCTTCGTCCAAGTTGAGTTGGCCATGAGGAATGAAGCACAGCGTAGTGCTGTAGCGTAACAAGCCATAAATGCGCGGTAATATCTTTAAAAAATCATAGAAATTATAAATATCTTCAATATCTTCGTGGTATGTATGATATGGTATGAGAAGCATATCGATACGCACAGGAGTTTTGGGACAATGCGGGCGTCCGAGAGAGTGAGATTTTGTATGTTGGAGAAGGTAAAGCGATTTGCACCAGCGCGAGCGAGCATGTCTGTGCTGATAGTTGGATAATGCACGTATGCGCCTACAGGTACCTTCCCTGCGCTCAGCAATCGTACGAAGGGGTATGTAAATGCGTAGCCCATTGTATCTGCACACCGGAGAAGTAATGAAATTAATTGGGTCTTAGTCTGGCAATTGGTAGGTGGACGATATCTTACCAATGTAGAGGTCAGGAATGAGCTGCTTGAACGCGTACAGGACTAGGGGGATTGAGCCGAGACTCTGTCCTAGCAGGGTGAACCGTGGCCAGGTTGAGTCCTCGACGAGGTAACGATTGCTGAAGAAAACAAAGTGGAGTTTGCTTGGGTCGAGTGTAATGTTGAATCGGGTCTGTGTATGAGTTTGTGAATAATTCGTACGGTGCAGAAAGTACGAGAGGAAGAAAAGAATACATACTTTAACTTTGGCAATGATTTCTTCCTTCCCTGCTGCGCCATCTCCAGAGTACACGACGCTAATAATGTGCGGGTCTTTTCGCTGAAGAAGTGCAATGGCGGTCCATAGGACGCGTTCTCCGCCTCCGCCAGCATTACTATGAAGAATAACGGCGACAAATATATTCTACTTAGAATCAGTCCCGTCTTGTTGGATGGTAGAACCCCGTGATAGGTGCTCACCAGTATGGATGAAAGAACCCGACAAGCGTATGATGTTTGTGTTTCGCGTCAGGTATACCAAGCTCCCTCAATACTTTTCGTCGATTTATCACGTTTGCCTTTGCAAGTAAGGCTTGCGCCAATAACAACGGTGCCAAGACTAACGAGAGCGGAAGTAGCAGCCAATACCAGATGGCCATGACGAGCGGAAGTAAAGCTGTAACTTGTAATGCAGTAGAGTGAAATGACGTGTCACGCGCAAGTGCATACGATTACAGTCTATCATTGTCATGTTTCACAAACAAAAAGTTGGAAACCCAGTATCTAAGTAAATGCCAAAAAATTTCTAGTCTAGAACTCGCCCGCCTCTTCTTCCGCAAGTAACCTCTCAGCTTCCAGAGCTGCCATACATCCACTGCCAGCTGACGTAACAGCTTGTCGGTAGCGTTTGTCTTGCACGTCTCCTGCTGCGAATACACCCTTGACGGAAGTCTGTGATGTTCCTGGGACAGTGACAATGTACCCGTCGGAGTCAGTTTGTACCTGTCCACGCACGATAGCCGTTGCAGGTTCGTGACCGATAGCATAGAATAGTCCGTTCACTTGCAAATCGTCCTCCTTGCCCGTGACCGTGTTCTTAATACGCAATGCATTGAGCAAGTTTCCATCGCCCTTGCACTCTACCGCCACGGTGTTCCATAGTACGGTTACTTTGGGGTGGGACAACAGTCGCTTCGCCATGATCTTACTCGCACGAAGCTCGTCTCGGCGTACGAGGACGTACACATGCGATCCATACTTCGTCAAGTACGTCGCTTCCTCCGCAGCAGAGTCACCACCACCGATAACCGCCAACGGACGGTTTCGGAATATCGGAACAGCGCCATCGCACACTGCACATGCGCTGATACCACTCTGCCAGTACTTGTCTTCGCCGGCGAGGTGTAAACGTTTTGCACTCGCGCCGGTTGCGATGATCACCGTGTCCGCGGTCTCGGGTTCATCGTTCTCTGCACCTTCGCGCCAGTATCGGAAGGGACGTCGAGAGAGATCGATTTTCGAGACAGTTTCCGTGATTATCTCAGTGCCGAACCGTGCGGATTGTGCACGGAACTTGTCCATGAGGTCCGGGCCCATAATACCCTCAGGGAAACCAGGGAAGTTTTCGACTATTCCATTCCGTTTCACACACATGTTAGTCAACCTATCTTGATGACTATATGCGCCATTCCTGCCTCACCTTCTGTTGTGGTTGTTAACTGACCACCGGCCGCAAAGCCATTTGCAAGGAAGCCTTCGAAGAGGACGGGGGTGAGGTTGGCTCGTGCGAGATAAATCGCAGCTGTATGGCCCGCTGGACCAGATCCGATTACAACCTATGAAACAAGAATTATTGTCAACTATTCTCCTTCATTTTACACGTCGATATTTAATCAAAATTACCGACCACTTTTGAATGCTTCTTGCTGCTCCTCCCATTGACACTGACAGGCGCCATTGTACTCGTGCTGTTATTCCTGCAAAGCTTCGCGTTTATGGATGAATATGATGCAGTGAGAAACGCCGAGGGTATCGCTCTATGTACACGAGAGAGAAGTGGGAATGCTTTTGAGAAGAAAATGATTATTTTTTGAGGGTGTTGTGATGTGAACGCGAGGCCGGGACGCGTTGAAATATCGGTTAGGAGAGAAATGCACGAGCTTGCACGTGCACTCTATGAGTAAGCATCACGTGGATTAAGAGCCGCAGTTGAAACTCCGCCTGAATGCTGCTGAGTACGCGTCACCTGTGATCGCGTGACGCGGCGTTCTCCGAGCGTGCTCGGCTGTGTTTAGCGCTTAGGAGTGACACGCCCTCCTCACTCAGACTCCATCCAGCTTCTCGCTCGACTCTGCTCCCTTCCCTTTGTCCCAGCTGCTTAAACTACTGACTGTCCGACATGTCTGAATACTGCCCTGTCTACGCTCCCTTCTTCGGTGCATTGGTATGTCCTTCCTGTTTGGCGGAAAGACCCTCGTTTCGCCACAAGAGAAGCGAGTGCATAGTTCAACTTGGATCTGACCGTCTGTTTTCTGTCCTGTAGGGCTGCACAAGTGCCATTGTCTTCACCTGTGAGCATCAATCCCTTAGATTTTGAATGCCCCCAGAACGTCTGATCGAGCGTTTTCCAGCAATTGGAGCCAGGTGGGTTTTATGACTAGTGGCGGTCGAACGCTGCGAGGACGCGCGAAATTGACAATCTTTATTGTACGGCGTTAGCTATGGGACAGCAAAATCTGGTGTCGGCATTTCTGCCATGTCGGTTCTCCGACCAGACCTTATGATGAAATGTGTCATTCCAGTCGTCATGGCTGGTATCATTGCTGTATGTCACTGTTCGGCACTTCGCCACATTTCATATAGAAATCACCCTCACGCGTGCTTTTAGATTTACGGTCTCGTCGTTTCCGTGCTCATCTCTAGTGACTGTATGTTTAAGCATCTATAGATTAGATGGTTAAGTGGTTTATGCTGACGCGTATGTGTAGTGACCTACAAACAACCCCTTTTCGTCGGTTTCGTCCAGCTCGGTGCCGGTCTCTCCGTCGGTCTCGCAGGTCTTGCAGCCGGATTTGCTATTGGTATTGTCGGTGACGCTGGTGTCCGTGGGACTGCTCAACAACCTCGTCTCTACGTCGGAATGGTAGGGATTTACCTTCTCCGTAGAATATATCGACCTCACATTCTTGATACAAGGTCCTTATTCTCATTTTTGCTGAAGTGCTTGGTCTTTACGGTGAGTTGTTATGTCTTGCCAATGACTAGTGATGATGACTGACGCTTTTGCCAGGACTCATTGTTGCACTCATCATGAACGGTAGAGCTCGTGACGCCGTTGGAGTGGTAAGTCTCCCTTCGTTTTTTGTCATTTCTCTAGCAGTTAAAGTTAAGCGTGTCTCTCTAGTGTATTTAGTGACTTATACAAAGAGGCTTTGCTACGCGATCGTAGTTTGGGACAGTTTACCGTACTGCATTGTTCATCATTTGCCTAGCTAGCTTCGCACTGCACACTCCTCACCTGCGCGATTCCTCTTGCATTCTTCCTTTCATGGATACAATTTCTGCTGTGGTTTATAGCAGCACTTGCAATTCAAGACCGTATTTATTTTTTGGTATTACTGTGCGAGATTTGTTTGTGTGCGTTGTCAGTGAGGTTCCATGAGCATCATGGCTATTATGCAGTCGTATCACCCTATGTGGATTGAAAGTAAGCTGAATGATTTGTGGCAGCCTTTCGTAAACTCAAACGGAGAACGAGATCGTCACTGAATCCGCTTGCCCTCTTGTAGAAGCTGGGTTATACATATATTAAGAAAGACAGCAAGTACGAGTATTCTACTACTACGAATTACGGCTAACCCGTCTTAATGTCGAATGACTAGATCTCACGAGTTCAGTTGTATGCCCTCGAACGTCCACTCTATCATCCCTCCTCCAAACGCTTCCTGACTCCGTCCTTGCTATCATCGGCGGTAGACGCATTTGCATCACTTCCTCCTCTTCACCCCAGACAGCCCCACTGTCCTTCACCTTTTCCTTCTCATTGTCATTTTCATACTCGTATGAAGCAGCACACTGCTGCAACAATCTCTTTGCCTCCTTCCTCACATCTTCTACTCGTAGTCTATACCCCTTTGGCACTAACCCCGTGCCGAACGTCCTACTCACGTGGTTAGCACACAACAGTGAAACAACAATGTTCACTATGTGCAGTGGAACAGTCGCGAATGCCGCCCGGCAGATGGTCGTGAGGTTTTCACGCTCGAAGCGCAGGAGGTGGGGTTTACACCCCGGTCTAGCCGAGCGTGGATAACAACCTCCCGCAAAACCAGATGCATATACTGCTTCGTGCGTCGGGTCCGAAAACCCACAACATCTCAGACTTTCTTGGATGACTGCGCGACCTGCGTCGGTGTACCACTGTGACCAAGCGAGGTTGAGTTTCCTATCTAGTGCGAAGGTGGTGCGTTTGTAAGTGACGTAGCCGACGCTGAGGAGGGAGATGAATGCTGGCCAGAGGAGGAGGGAGTAGATTGCGAGGAGTGGGCGGGAGTTGAGGAGGGTTCCTGTTAGGCCGGTGAGTGAGGCGAGGAGGAGGAGGGAGGCGCTGAGAGTTGTGAGGATTAGGACGTCGGTGTCTGATACGAGCATTACGTCTGCGTGTTCCCAAGCTAGAGCAGAGAGGTTAACTTGAATGATAGTTGAGAAAGGAAGGGGTTGACGTACTTTGATACCACGTGAGGATTGAATATACCAATGCTGCGAGACTATACCCGAGTACTGAAAATACAGATAATAGAAGACACCATTTATGTATCGTCCAGTGACCGATTTTCCGTTCGAAACCCAGGCCGACGTCGACTGTTGTATTCCCAGATTTGAGTTCTTCGAGCGTAGTAGCCAATTCCGACGGGAACTCGTCCTCCACAGTTTTCCGAGTTGTATTTATATTTATCCTGCGCTCTAGTTTCTTTAAGCTCGCAGGCTTCGGCCATCGATGCGTGAATTTGTCTGTAGTGTCTATTCCGGGGAAGAGAAACGTCCGTCCTGAATCGACAGACAGACACGTCCGAGCAGCTGAAGAACTTGAACTGTGATCGTCGGAAATAGATGCAGAGTGTGTTTGAGACCTTGTAGGTTGTTTGTGTCGGGTACTGCTGTTGAAACTGGAAGGATAGTTAGACTGGATCCGGAAATGACTTTTGAAGCTCCTTATAGAAGGCATGATGCTGTGCCGAAGGTCAACAGACGAAGCAGGAGCAGCGTCACGCGAATCAGCGAAGTGCCGTTCAGTCATGGAACTTGCTCTCCTAGAGTTTGCTCTCGAACTAGTACTCGTCGATCCTAGGACTTTGAAATCACGGTCAAACGCGTCCCCGATTGAAGTAGAATTCTGAGATTGAGGTGCTGAAGAGAAGTCAGGTGAAGGGAGCCTTGACATCCTTGACATGTCGGTCTCCGCAGACTTTGTTCGCTCTAAGTTTTGTAGTTCGGGACGAGGCGTAAGTGGGACAGCTTCAAGGGTAGCCTCCGTCAAGGACGCGCTTGCCGGGATCCCGGGCAATGGCTTCATATTCGTACCCATACTCAGATGTGAGGACGGAAAGCGAGGCGATAATCCATCATAGCTTCTTCTTTCAGCTCCACGAGGTCTGAGGTTTACTTCGTCGTGCGTGCTGTAAGTTGACGGCAACGCATCATGCACAGTGCGGAGAGATGTACGTGAGCCGGATTCCTGAGGAATCCTTGGCGACAGATTGCGATGTCGGATGGATTGGCTACTGACACTAGTACTAGCCAGTCCTGACGCAGACGAGCTATATATTTGCGGATGCAAGTTGCGAGAACTCATTTTTAGCGGCAAGAAGAGTGGACGGCAAGGGCAGAGACTAAGAGAGCGAGAGTCATTTCGCTGATATTTCTTCGTGTGGCTGACTGGTTAGGCATTACTTGTTTTTTTTTCTAGCTGGGGCTGGCAACTTGGTATTACAGTGCAATTCCGGACTCCACAGCAGCTCTTTTTCTCGAGTCTTTTCTTCATAGGAACAGTCGGTCGTCTAGACTTGTCTAGCAAGGATGGTGGGTTGAGGAAAAGGCGGCGGGCGTCAATCTCATGTTATGTAATCTTGTCCTACAGATGAAAGTACAAAAAAATAAAAAGTAACAAAACCCTTTGGCTTCGTTACTTAGCTACTGGGCACATGGATAACTTTCTCCTCCTGCTGCAAATACACTGTTGCGTGCCATCCTATATGCATTTCACATAAGCTAGCTCCTAGTACGCACATGATCACGGATTTATCGGACCCTGGTCGAACTTCATGATCTTTGGTTACCTAACGGAAGCTCGTCTATTCTGATCACGGACACATGATTCTCTGTGCTTAAAATCATCTCGCAATCTCACGGACTGTTGTTGCGAGTCGAGTCATACTGCCTTACTTCCGAACGTACTGTTAGAGATTAGCAAGAATGGCTGGTGATGAAGAGAGCGACCATACAATGGTTCAGGCTGTGAAGAATACATGGACGCAATATATGCTTGATACGTATCGGTACAGACGTTTTCCTCTGTTATCGACAGTTAAGGTCGCTCGTGTTGAGGAGCTTGCGAGAGAGAAGATGGAGAAGATGGGCAAACTGGGTAAGTGGTCTCCGTCCCAGCCTGGTATATTTGTTTTGAACGGCAGATATATCGAATTAGACGCATATATGTACGTTTTTGGAAGCGCGGGTACGTGCTCAACGGAGAGATTCAATCGTGAAGCATTTGATGAATGGAGAATTATCCCCCGTATGTTGCGGGATGCTACGGTTCGAAACATCGAGGTAGGAGTACCTACTGGCTACTTCAATGCGCTGCACTCTTATTAGACCTGTGTCTAGATAACATTATTTGGAAAGAAATATCCGTGTCCACTCTTCGTCGCCCCAATCGGTGTCCAAGGAATACTCCACCCCAATGCCGAACTCGCATCCGCGCGTGCAGCAGGCGGCCTCGGTGTCCCCTTCATCATGAGTACTGCATCAACCCGCTCCATAGAGGAAGTTGCAGCAGCAAATGGAGAAGGTAACCCAAGGTGGTACCAGCTCTACTGGCCTAAGACGCACGAAATCACAGTCTCCCTGCTCAACCGCGCAAAGGCCTCGGGGTTTACTACACTCGTAGTTACTCTTGATACGATTACCCTCGGTTGGCGCCCGCACGATTTGGAAAAAGCGTATTTACCGTTCGCGCATTCCACGGGCTGTGCAGTGGGTCTTTCGGATCCGGTGTTCATGAGGCGTATGGGTCAGGAGGTCTGGCCGCAAGGAAAGCATGTGGAGTTTCCGTATGACCCTGATGCGTTGGAGAAGCGCATACAAGAAGGTGATGAAGAGGTTTTGTTAAGGAAGAAACTCGGAGGTGCATGGCTTGCGGAGAGTACCTCTGGGAAGTATCGAACGTGGGAAGACCTGAAGCTGCTAAGGGAAGCTTGGGATGGGCCAATCTTATTGAAAGGGATTCAGAATGTTGAAGTATGCAACTTCCATATATATATACACTGATTATGCCTGACTTTGCATTAGGATGCGGAAATCGCTATTGATTGGGTGGACGGGATCATTGTCTCAAATCACGGTGAAGCTATTCTACTACGGTATGAAGTTCCTTAGTGTACTCAACCTGAGATAGGTGGTCGTCAAGTGGATGGTGCCATCGCTTCGCTCGCAGCAATGGACAAGATCGGCGCGTCCGAGAAGGTACGAGTAGCACAAGCTTCTGGCAAGTTTACCGTCTTGTTCGACTCGGGCATACGAACGGGGAGCGACATAATCAAGGCTCTTGCACTAGGCGCACAAGGTGTCCTTCGTATGTACCTGTGATACTTTGCGATTACATTCGTTTTTAACGGATAAAAATATCTTCCCGCAGTGGGCCGTCCATACATGTACGGACTTTGCTTAGCAGGTGAAGCAGGTGTTGCAGAGCAAATCAAATCTATCCTCTCGGATTTCGAGATCACGCTCGGTTTGGTAGGGTATAAGGACATCCAGGAAATTCACGGAAACAGAAATGCTGTCACTCGCAACTAGTAGAACACAAGGAGAATTCAACCCTATTAAACGATTGATAGAATACTACAAGTTTCGTAGCTAAGGAGCATATAGGTCTGCTACATGGGCTCAAATGCCTTTGATTTTTTGGACCTGGACTAATCGTCAAATGTCCATGATCCGTTCAACTTTGGGATAGGACCTTTTTGTGGATCAGTGTTTGTGCCATCAGGCGCCACAGCGGCATACAAAGCTGGTGTCAGGTCAGCGTCAAAGCAGGTCATACACTATTATCAAGTACATATAAATCAACCGCATATTCTCCTGGAGGGTAAAAGTATTGAAAACGAAGAGAAGACGAACCTTGTCGGCAAGTACTCCTTTGGCCGTCTTGCCGCCTACTTTTATAATAATATTCTTATTGCAGTGAGGATTCTTCGACCCACTCCCAAAGTACTAGAAAACCAATGAAGATAGTGTATGAAAATTAGGCAGTCGGCACAGCAATGAACTAGAAAAGCGAGAGAAGTAATATTATCGACTCACGTCTTTATTAAGTGAGATTTGCTAAAACACAGAGGCATCCAGACCATTAGCCAATAGACTCGATAAGTGGACTATTAAGTAATTCAAACCACAAGACCCACGAGTTTTTCGTTCGAAATCGGTATTCCACACGCTCCCGGACTATTCTCGAAATAAGTCATTAGCTCAATCGTCGGAATTATGACAGGTGCAGGAGAGGATGCGCGCATATACATGTTGTTGATACTGCCACTTACACTTCTCCTCCGCCATTGTCAAAATCTTGCCTTCTGAACCCTCCTTTTGTGGTATCTGTCCGCTTGTGTATTCCTCTGCTTGCAGCGGATAGTACCGATAGAAGGGTAAGAAGTATCATTGGGAGAACTGCCTTGACGGATTGAATAGATTGCATAATAGTAAATTGTAAAGGATGTATTACTAAAAGTACTAGGTGGCCTGTAAACCTGAAGCCTTACAAGTGCATAGAGAGGGGAGAAAGTGGGAACGCTTAATAGTCGACTATATATTGCACGGAGTACTTTGTCCCTGGGGATGAACCACTGTGCAAAGAGGTTTGGACTTTCTATTTCTAAATCCTGTACTCGTAATTGAGCAATTCTAACCAGAATTTCTGGATTTTAGAAATCGTCTTATTGTAGCTCATATTCAAGTTGGGCAGATGGATGGGAATATCGGTACTAGGATTGTGTGCACCAATAAGATTAAGCACCATACTACTGGTGTGTACAGAACCTTTCAGGAGGATTATAACATGCAAAGTAACAAGTATATAGGCGTGCTAAATCTCCAAAGATATAATCTTTGTGCTTAAACTAATCATCGAATTCCCAAGAACCTTGTAACAACGGAACTTTACCCTTTGAAGGATCCGTATTTGTACCATCTGGTGCAACGGCGTCATACAAAACCGGAGTAAGTTCAGCATCCGCATTACCAATACAGCCTATGGAAGCAATGCACTATTGTCATGCACGTTTCAGCCCCACATTCTTCTGATGAAAGATGTAGTTGTTGACTATGAACGAGAGACACACCTTGTCAACAAGCAGCCCTTTCTCTGTCTTTCCGCCCACCTTTATTGTGATATTTTTATTACAGTGAGGGCTCTTAATGGCAATACCATAATCCTAGAAAATCATTGAAGGGGAGGGTGAAGATCAAGTATTCGGGTACAGAAAGATGGAAAGAGGGTGACAATGGCGACTCACTTTCTCATTGAGTGCAACTTGCTAAAGCATAGTAAGAGCATTAGTTTTTGTATACTATTAAGAATGTCAAATACTTTTGATTGAGATGTCAGACTCACATATGCTGATTTTGATACTTGTATACCACAAGCTCCTATCCTATTGACAAGTTCACTCATTAATTCAATTCTCGAAGACTGACAGGCTCAGGGAAGAAGGTTGTGCCCTTTTTTGATACACCAACTTACCCTTCAAAATCAAGTCTTGCTCTTGCAAACCCTTTATTGGTGTCGGTTCGTTCGTGTATGACACTACTTGTGGCAGATAGTGCCAACAGAAGGGACAGGAGTATAACTGAGAGGATAATTCTGATTGATTGCCTAGGTTTCATCATTCTCGAAGTAGAATTGAGAAGTTTGGTTCTTCTTGTAGCAACGAGTTAGTCCTTCTACGCTCGAGAGTATATGAGTATACAAGCCTGGGGGAGGGGAGAAGAGGAATGCTCGGCAGTCAACTAAATATTGCCCCAGACCACTTTGCATCATACGTATAGATGGCTCAAAGAAACTTCGCTTTGACTTTCTCTACTTCCAGCCCATGGTTCCCACGCTCCTTCTTTGGGTGCTTTGCACATTATATCTAAGGTTGGGAAAACATAAACTCAACCAACCTGTCACATCAGTCACAGCACAGCCACATACTCCTTTTGGAAGGGACCCTACGGCCAAAATTTCTAGGTCAGAAAAAATTGACTTTGTTTTATTGGCTCTAGCAATTTCAAAACTTATTCAGATACAATTATTAATGTCTAAAGTTAGTTTTTAAACAGTTATATAGTGTTTGTTCAACTTTCTAAGTGTTTGGAAAAAAATGCTGACAAATGTATTATTATTAATACTATTACATAACTTTTTTGTATTATATAAGCGGCAAAAATCTGGGTCGAAAATTTTCAAGTAGTGCTCAAACTCATAGAAATACTTTTAACAAAAAAAAGTTTCTTAGGAAATAAAAAAAATTGTACTTAATATTTTTGAAAAATAAAAACATACATTTGTAGCTACAGATGTCCTCTACAATTCTATGTTGCCCAAATATTCATTTGAGGTTATTTGAGGAAGTTATTTCATTCATCATTGTATGGCCTAAAAGAGGCTAGTACTACTATATTACAGTTGGTTGAGTTTATATTTTTCCAACCTTATTTTTGAGAATCATTCCTGTGTGACCAACAACTTTAGCTTATATTTATGAGGCATTAATATGAATGTATTGGCAGAGTCATAAAAGAATGATGTACTAGTGACAAACTTGGACATAAGACTATGTATAATTTGTAATAGTAGAGAGTCTAGAGACTGTTGTTAGGAAGTTGATGTTACAGTTCTCTACTCTTATACCTTCAGTTCTGAGGGTTCTGCACCCTTCTGTACCAGAACTTAGGACTTCTGTCCCTTGAGGGTACTGTCTATAAACTATATACATGCTGACTCTTACTACTACCCTTCCTTACTTCATCATTCCATTCCTTTGACCACCCCTTCATTCTTTGTATCATTCTATAGTCTCTTACCCTTTGTCCATCCCTTCATTCTTTGTACCTTTATTTTTGACATTCCTTTCTTTCATTCTTTGTGGCTTATCATTCTTAGTGGCTCATGCTCCCTAAGTGCTCTTGTGTAGTTTAGTATATATAGGTGTACAAGATCAGACTGGTCCTGTAGTCTTGATCTTGTCTACTCTAGGTAGTCCTGTACTCTTAGGCTCACTCTATATACTCTACTCTTGTCCCACTCTCTCTCTCTGCCTGTTCTGTAAGTTCCAACTATGTTCTAGTGCTTGTATTCTGTATTTCTGTTGTGTAGGATAGTTGTAGCCTGGGTCCCCTTACTGAGCCTTCAGGTCCCCTCTACACTGTTGCTGACAAATGGCTAGCATACAGACTCTTACTAACATGTTCTCTATAGTCTTAACATGTATAGTCCTTTTGTCTATTGTAATTTTAGTATATACTACATGTGATTCATCCCCCTCTCTAAAACCAATCATCCTGATTGGTGAGTATTAGGCTTGGTCAGTAGCTCAGGCATAAGTCAGAACAGTAGGGTTTGGAAATCTGTGAGGCAGAGTTGATACAGAGCACTCAGATAAAGTTGATAAAAGTCTTGAATCACCTTAGCAGTATGGGTGAGATTCTCAGCAGGTTCCTAAGTGTGTTCTTCAACTGAGTATCCCTTCTAGTAGATAAGGAACTTGAGTTTTCTACACACTAGCTTAGTATCCACTATGTACTCTACTTTGTATTCTGGTTTAGAACTAATGAGTTCTGGTGGAGGTAGTAGGGGTCTTTGTTGTAAAGGAAAACCTGAATTGTAGTATTGAGACAGTAGAACCTTATTAAACACTAGGTGTATATACTTCCATATTGCTAGAAGTTGGAGTTTGTAGACAGAGGCACTGACCTTCTTTTCAATAACAAAGGGTCTGAAGCACTTGTTGTCCAACTTCTTTATTAGACAATCTGTAGTCAGGTTAGTAGCTTCTAGTATAACTTTGTCACCAGGCTGGTAATCCTTGGCCATAGACCTCTTCCAATCATAGTTCTACTTTATAACCTACACTACCTTTTCCAAAAGAGCTTGTGTGTCCTCCCTGGTTCTGTACATCTGTTCTACAAAGTCTGTTACAGATTCAGAACTACTGTTCTAGTTTGGAACTGTCCCCTAATACAGATGTCTTCTATGATTGAGGAAGAACAGGGACTGTCCTGTTGTAGAGTGTTACTAGTTATTGTGTACAAATTCTGTTAGAGCTAACCATTCAGACCAATCCAATTACTGATGATTAATGAACATTCAGAGGTAGAGCTTGATCTCCTGATTGACTTACTCAGTTTGACTGTCAGTCTGCAAGTGATAGGTAGTAGAAGGGTTCCCTTAAATTCTAAGAAGTATATACAAGTCCTGTATGAATTTTGACTCAAATTGTGGTCTACAATCATGAATAAGCTTCTGAGGGAGTCTGTGTAACTAGAAGATGTGATCCTAATAAATACACACTATGTCTTTAGAAGTGAGTTCTGTTCAGGTTGGAACCATATAGACTTGCTTAGAGAATCAGTCAACAATTACACAGATAGTATTGTAACCCTAAGACTTGGGTAGCTTACTAATCAGGTCTACTAAGACTTCTTCCTAAGAGTGATCCAGAATCTAATACAAATGTAGGGGAGTCTGAACCCTTGTCTAGTAGGCCTTAGTCTGTTAGCACATATTGTAACTAGTTACATACTTTAGGATTTCCCTCTACATTCTAGACTACTAGTAGTTCTAAGTAATGAGTTCCTGTGTTTTGTGTTAGCCTAGATATTCTACAGTTGGATTGTTGTAATAAGCTCAGACAATGTCCTCCTACAGTTTCTAATCCTTTAGAACATACAGTCAGCCTTCCTAGTAAACCTGTCCATCCTCATCCTCCTCCTAATCCCTAGCCTGCTTCTCTAGTTGCTTTACTATGACCTAGTCCTGTATGTGTCTCAGAGCTTACTGTATACAGGTGACAAAGTCAACATCCTTGGATTTGAGTCAGATCTCTTAGATTGTCTCAGACACAAAACAGGAATTGTTTAGAAGAATAAGATTTTCATTATTATTCTCCCCCCTTTCATAACCTACTTGTCTTAAGAGTAAATTAGCTTTTGTCATTTGTGTTCTAGGTTTGTGAGTCAGTACAAAGTTGAAGTCCTACAGTTCTAACATCTAGTAGACTTAGTAGTAGTTGAGCTTCTGAGGAGTCTAGAAGTACTAGAGATTAAGGTGATCACTCTAAATCTTAAACTTCTGTATAGTACTAAGGAGATATTAATACTACTCTTCTAAGGAACAGACAATTGTAAGGAGTTCCTTGTTATAGATAGAGTAGTTCTGTTCTGTTACAGAGAGGGATTCTGATTGGAACACTATCAGACACTACTTTCTGTCAATGAACTGAGACAGTACTACTCTATTTGCAAAGTCAGAAGAATTGGCTTTGACTTGAAACTTGTTTACAACTGTCAGAACTACTAATACAGACTCACTAGTGATAGCCTGCTTGAGGGACTCAAACACAGACTACTACTAATCATCCTATTACTAAGGAACATCCTTGCTAGTAAGATTGTGAAGAGGCTAGGCAATAGTACTAAAGCCTTGAATAAAGTATTAGTAGTAGTTTACAAACCTAAGAAACACTTAGACCTGTTTCAGGTTCTAAGGTTATAACCAGTTCTGAACTATAGTCACCTTTGCTGGATCTATACAGACCTTGCCTCTACCAATCATGAAGCCTAGATAATCTACTGACTCCTACACAAAAAAGTACTTTACTTCTTAGAGGAACAGTTTATTATCTCAGAACTGTTGTAGAACTACTCAGATCAGTTAGTAATAGTGCTCAACTGTCTGGGTGAAGATCAGAATGTTGTCCAGATACACACTAACATACTCTAAGTTAATCAGATCTACAAGAATGTGATTCATGAATGACTGGAACATTGTAAGTAAGTTAGTTAGTCTGAAGAACATTATGGTCAGTTTGTACAATCTACAATTAGTTTAGAATGTAGTCTTCCACTCATCTCTGTCTTAGATCCAAATATTATTGTATCCTTATCAAATGTCCAACTTAGTAAAAACCCTGAATGTATGTGTCTTATTAATGAGCTCCTAAATCAGAGGGAGTAGGTACTTGTTTTTAATAGTACCCTTATTAAGACAACAATAATCCTGAACTAGGTAGAGCTTCCTATCTTTCTTTTTGACAAAGAAGAAAGGGGAGGCTATAGAGGACTTTAAGGGTTGGATCCAGCTGTTCTAAAGATTTTCCTGAAGGAACTTGTCAAGCACCTCCTACTTGTCTCTGTTAAGTAGGTAGACCTTACAATCCTTAGGTTAGAAACCCTTAGTCAATTCAATTGTATAGTCTTAAGGACAGTGTTTAGGAAGCTGGTCAAATTCCTCTTTACTAAAGACTTTAGGGAACTCTCAGACAAAATCTGGCAGGCTGAGTCTGTGTGTGTTCCAGAGTAGAGTTGTTCTGAGAGGGTTCTAGACTGGTTCTGTCTCAAACATCCTTCAGATTGACTCTATTCTACATTGACTAGAATATGTATTCACATATTTATCCTAGTCAAAGAAGAACAACTAGTCACCTTCATCAGAACTGTTAGTAACATTAGAAGTATCTGTATCTACTCAGAATAGTAGTACAAGGTAGTTGTAAGACTTAGAACACTAATTGAACACAAGTGTCTACTCTAACCAGTTAATAGTAGGGTTGTAAGCCTTAAGCTATTCAAATCTAATGAAGACATCTGTCTTTCTAAGGTTAGTGACTCTGAACTCAATACTTTCCTTATAATCCTGAATAGTCATCTATAGTTAGACAAACTCAGTGATCTAACTATTCTGGTTTAGGGTTCTGTCTACATTATATACTAGGATCAGAAGTGGAAGGTATTGAGTAGGGAGGTAGTGTTCCTGTGTAAAGACTTTATTAATGTATGAACTAGTACATCCACTGTCTACTAGAGCTATTGTTTGGATCTGAGGGGATTCTAAGAAGGGAGCTAAGAGGACAGGGACCTAGAGCTAGTGTTTAGAACATTCTCAGATAAACTACTACTTGTTCTAAAGGGAATGTACAGCTTGTACAGCCTTGTTGTCTAAGAGGGTGAGTATATACACTAACATTTCCTTATTAACCTCTCTCTTTCAACAAGGACAGACTTATGTCCTCAGCTGTGAACTCAACTAAGGCCATTCCTACTTGATACTATAAACAAACTACTGAGTAGTAAACAGGGCTGGGTAATGTTCCAAACATTCTGAGATCTTAGAACACAGAAGTGGTAGGTTAGATTGTACAGATTTAGACTCAGATGAAGTGCAAAGAGAAGAATCAAAAGAATCAGAAGAAATAGGAGAACTATCTACTTTTGTTTTCAACTTTTTTCTTTCTAATAAATAATTTTGTTGATTTATCTTTTCTACTTTTTCTGTTTTTTCTACTTTTCTTACTTTATTTACTTCTAATCCTACAGTGTCCATTGAATCAAAAGTAGCTATTAAAAAATCTGAGTCATAGTCCTTCAGTACTACATTTACTGTTAGGCCTCTACAAAATCCTAGAGTACATAGTCAGGGTCTGAGAGTTCTAAGGTGACTTCTAGATTTGCAGAAAAGGCTTCTTACTACAAATCCTGCTTGTCACTCATTATTACTCTAATAACCTGACAGATGTACTGTTACTTCTATAAGCAGTCCTTAATTTAGTGTCCTAACTTTCTACAAGCAAAGTATGCTTCTTACTTTCAGACTTCTCTAATGTCTATCAGAACAGATTGATTGTGAATTACAGGCAGATTGATCTGAGGGCTCAGAACTGTCAGAGCTAAATGTATGTACAGGTGTTCTACACAGACTTGACACATCTGAGCTACAGCTTGGTTGAAGGAGATGGCACATGTCTTCTACTCAGTGTAGGTGACTAGTTCTAGCATTATTCTAAGAATCTTATTAACCAGTTCTGAGTAAAGAGCTTTTTCAAGCATTCTAATAAGGACATTATTGAACCCAAGTATGAATCCTACCTTCTAAGCCAAGATATCAAATTCCTGAAAGAAGGTATTAGCAGAATGTTTGCCCTGTCACAGAGACACAAGCTTGTTCTGTACATTGTACTTCTTATTCAGATTAATGAAGGAAGTACAGAGCTGCCTTATGAATTCTGAGTATGACTCATTGTTCCAAAGTTGGATCAGGCTTTCAATCTAATAACCTTTAATCTAGTTCTGGGCCTAGGTGGCTGTATTGCCTTCCTTCATAAAGGAGAGGACAAATAGAATGTGATTAAGATCTGAGGATAGATCAGTTAAAGTAGCAGTCATGTATAGTTTGACTTAGTACTGGAAGTCCTCAAAGTGCTGCCTATTAAAGTTCAAAGGGTAGGCTATATACACTTTCTTTCTAGAACAGGTTGTGACTTCCAGAATGATTAGAACAGGTTCTGAAGGGGTTGAGAGCATGTGGTTAGTAAAGGCCTCTTAGATAGAGATCTGTATGTATTAAGCTAGCTCTGCTTGTAACTACTGATCTGGCAGGACAGTAGGAGTAGTAGTTAGTGTAGTAGAGTCTATGTTTACACTATAAAGGAGTCAACACTAAACTAAAAGGGGTAATGAATAGAAGAAGGGTGGCAAAAGTTTAAAAGGGTTTAGAAAGTTTAAAATTTAAAAATGAAGTTCTAGTACAGAAGAGTGTAGAACCCTCAGAACTGAAGGTAAGAGAGTAGAGGATTGTAACAGACAGTGTGTAGAGAGCTGTTACTAAGGTTTGTCCTTCTTGTCTACCTTACACTAATAATTTTTACTTACAACTATAAAATATTAATTCTAATACATACAATATTATAGTGTAACTATTGTCCTAATGATGGAGAGCTTTCTCAGGCATTATATGACCTTATTGTACCTACAGGTACAAATACAGACCTGTTAAAGGGATTTGTCCTGTTATTGTAAGGTTCTTAGGAAATAATTAGTAATTAAAGAACTGTGTCAAGGATAGTGTATTTAGTGTCTAAATGGTGTTACAGTTCTCTACTCTTGTACCTTCAGTTCTGAGGGTTCTGCACCCTTCTGTACTAGAACTTAGGACTTCTGTCCCTTAGGGGCACTGTCTATAGACTATATGTGTACTGACTCTTACTACTACCCTTCCTTACTTCATCATTCTATTCCTTTGACCACTCCTTTGTTCTTTGTATTATTCTATAGTCTCTTACCCTTTGTCCATCCCTTCATTCTTTGTACCTTTATCTTTGACATTCCTTTCTTTCATTCTTTGTAGCTTATCATTCTTAGTAGCTCATACTCCCTGAGTACTCTTGTATAGTTTAGTATATATAGGTGTATAAGATCAGACTAGTCCTGTAGTCTTGATCTTGTCTACTCTAGGTAGTCCTGTACTCTTAAGCTTACTCTATATACTCTACTCTTGTCCCACTCTCTCTCTCTGCCTGTTCTGTAAGTTCTGACTATGTTCTAGTACTTACATTCTGTATTTCTGTTGTGTAGGATAGTTGTAGCCTGGGTCCCCTCACTGAGCCTTCAGGTCCCCTCTATACTGTTACTAACATCAGATTAAGACTACCTATTACTACCCTACAACTCTCTTATGTTTCAGGCATTAGTACTTACTATTGTGTCAATCTCTTTCCTTTGTCCTAACCCTTTTAAGGACTTCTGTCTCTCAGGAGTACTGTCTATAGACTATATGTGTACTAACTCTTACTACTACCCTTCCTTACTTTATCACTCTATTCCTTTGACTACTCCTTCATTCTCTGTTCATTCTATAGTCTCTTACCCTTTGTCTATCCCTTCATTCTTTGTACCTTTATCTTTAACATTCCTTTCTTTCATTCTTTATAGCTTATTATTCTTAGTAGCTCATACTCTCTAAGTACTCTTGTGTAGTTTAGTATATATAGGTGTACAAGATCAGACTAGTCCTGTAGTCTTGATCTTGTCTACTCTAAGTAGTCCTGTACTCTTAGACTCACTCTATATACTCTACTCTTGTCTCACTCTCCCTCTCTGCCTGTTCTGTAAGTTCTGACTATGTTCTAGTACTTGTGTTCTATATTTCTATTATGTAGGATAGTTGTAGCCTAAGTCCCCTTACTAAGCCTTTAGGTCCCCTCTATACTGTTACTAACATTAGATTAAGACTACCTATTACTACTCTACAACTCTCCTACATTTTGAGTATTAGTACTTACTATTACATTAATCTCTTTCCTTTGTCCTAACCCTTTTACATTTTTAAATTTTAAACTTTCTAAACCCTTTTAAACTTTTGCCACCCTTCTTCTATTCATTACCCCTTTTAGTTTAGTGTTGATTCCTTTGTAGTGTAAATATGGACCCTCCTACACTAACTGTCACCCTTACTGTCCTGCCAGATTAGTAGTTACAAGCAGAACTAGCTTAATATGTACAGACTTCTATCTAAGAGGTCTTTACTAACTATATACTCTCAGCCCCTTTAGAACCTGTTCTAATTGTTTTAGAAGTTACAACCTGTTCTAGAAAGAAAGTATATGTAGCCTACCTTTTAAACTTTAATAGGTAGTACTTTAAGGACTTCTAGTACTAAGTCAAACTATATGTAGCTACTACTTTGACTAATCTATTCTCAGATCTCAATTATATCCTATTTGTCCTCTCCTTCATAAAGGAAGGTAATGTGGCTACCTGGGCTTAGAACTGGATTGAAGG